TATATTATATTATATTATATTATATTATATTATATTATATTATATTACTTTGTTACATTTTTCATAATTTTCCCCTGGAAAGATTTTAAGGGAAGGAAACTTCATAACATGGTTAAGGAGAAAGTGTTTGATCAGATCCAGTACAGACTACTTATTCTGGACTAAAGAGTCCCTCAGATAGTTTAAATTTAATCAGAATAAGGTGCTGTTTCGCTTTTTGATCATCCCCGTAAACCAAAGGCGACGTCCCGTCAAAACAATAGAATGTTAAACATTCACCGAGGACAATTGAGCTTCAAGCCTTTCTCATTTTATGTGGATTGTTATTCATTTTCAGATCTTGCTTTCAAACTAAAAGCGCCCCTCTCCCCCCTCCATGTGCCCCTGTGTGTCTCTGGAGCAGCAGCCAATGAGAGCCAAGCACTGCCAGACCTGCAAACGCTGCGTGCGGCGCTTTGACCACCACTGCCCATGGATCGAGAACTGCGTGGGCGAGAGAAACCACCGTTGGTTCATGGTCTACCTGCTGGTGCAGATGCTGGCTCTGCTGTGGGCGCTTCACATCGTACTGTACGTCTGCTAAACCCCCCCCACCCCCACCCACCCACCCCCCAACCTCCCAGATAAGCCCCGCTTATCTACCCGGGAAAGTGAATAGTCCGGTCACAAGTTAGAGGCGCGCCTCCATGCCGTATGAGCGTACTCTGCTCTGTGGGTTTATCTCTCCAGCGTACGGCCGGATTAGGTAACTCCTTCCAGAGCCTTTGAGAAAACACACCGCATCGATTTACGTTACGTAAACAGGAGCCGACGCGGTGCCCGAGTAGACTTTGAAAAGTTCGACTGACCCCGTTTTCAGGGATCCAATGTGCGGCCTTTTAGTGCTCCTGGGAAAATAACAAGTTGTAGAACTAGTAAGATTACCTAAAAAGACATCAAAAACTACACGTGTTAAGATTAGTAAAGGTTCTCACTCAGGAATGGTTGTAGAGCTTAATTAAAAGAGTTAAAAGGTGATTATTGGTAATAATTTCCAGGCTTTATGTGTGGATCTCAGTGGTTAAAAAGGTGTGTAACGGCTCGTGGACTCCGACGTTTTTTAGAGGAAAGACCCCAGAGTTATTTTAAAGTCATAAATAACATTTGAAAGAAGAAGTAGTCCTTTAATGTCTGTTGCAATCAGAAACTCAAAGCTCGGGGTGAAAGTCCAGTATGACTCCAAGGTTAAGATTTGCCCGGCTGAATTGAGGGAATTGCCGGGGCTCAAATTTTTTGAGTCTATTTTGGATTAAATGTCACGAGTGTCCAGATGTGGCAAAGGTCATGTGTCCCAGCCAAAATAAGCTAAACTACTTTGGTCAGAAGAACTACAAATACAAAAAGAAAGGATTATTAGCTGATTGCAAAATAGGGAGTCTCTTTAAAACTGCAGGAAGTAGTAATATCAGGCTTAAAAAGGATTCATATTTATCTGGTGTGGTGACCTAAAACAGATGGAAGTGGATTGTGCCAGAATATTCCCACATTTTTGAACTTTTAAGCGTTCCCAGCTCGACTGGGAATGGCTGACCTGAATGGTTTTTATGTTAGTTCTCTGCTTCTTCTTTTTTTTTTACAGAACCCTTGGCAAAATGAGTAAGGGAGCTGATTCATTTCTTATTCTGACCTATATATAAATATTATATAACAAAAGGGATCTTGTTGCTGGAATTTTGATCTCTTCATTAGTCCACTTAATATAAACAATGCACTTTTTATTTAAACTTTTATTTATCCAATCAGAGTTGCTCCAGTGCAAGTTTGAAGCCACTAGCAATTTCCCGCCATTTTTGCCTTTTTTGTTGTACCCTGTCACCAGTGGCACTCCAAAATCTGCCGTGTCAGCACCCAATGAGAAGGCGTTTTATTTTTTGTTGTAGTTTAGACCTGATTAAGAGTCCAGGGCCATAAAATGCTGTGCTTCAACATGGACGTGAGGCTAAAACCAAAATGGCCGCCGTTCCTCTCATTTTCCCGCTCTTTTTTGTTTTTGTTTGCTGCTATTTTTTTGTTCCAGGTCACCGTCTGTATGTAGAGTTCTGAAAACCCTTTTTTTTTTGCGGTGGTGCTTTTTGGTCAGGTCGGGGATCTCTCCCGGCGCCACTTGGGAGCTGTGGCTCTGGGCCAACGGCGTCCTGCTGGCCGCCCTGGCGGTCATCGGGGTCTTCTCGGCGGTGGTGCTGCTGCTGCTGGGCTGCCACTTCTACCTCATCTCCATTAACAGCACCACCTGGGAGTTCATGTCGCGCCACCGGATCTCCTACCTGAAAAACTGCGACAGCGAAGAGAATCCCTTTGACCGCGGGCCGCTCTGCAACCTCTGGGACTTTTTCTGCATCTGCCGGACGGTGGTGTGGGAGCAGGTCTACCACCGGAACACCCCCAACCCCGTCTGACCCCGGCCGAGCCCCAGAGCACCACTTTTGAACTTTAAACCCAGGAGTTTGATTATTTTCAGTGTGTTTTTGCAGATTTGATGGCTCAGCAACTCGGGATCTAAAGGGGACGGATGAGTCATCGGCCTTCAGAGCACGTACTGACCAACTGAACCACGACTCAGAGGTCAGACATCGGCCTGACTTAAGACCTTTGCCTGTATTTACACTTAACAACACGTCATCTTTAAGAGTCAGTGTTAGTTTTGAACCACTGGAAGCACTAAATATTACAAATATTGAAGTTTTTTAAGGCATTTTGACACGTTTACTTTAAAGGACCAAATAAATGACAAAGATGATCAGTACATAAAAAACAAGACCGAACTCTTAAACTTTTTAGGTCTTTTGTTTTTGTTGGTTATTGATAGTAAAAAGGAAAAATGAAAAAAAAAAAGAAAGAACTACTGTATTTACTCAGGTCTGGTTGTCCCTGCTTCTACAAATATTTACCAGAGCTGTGACTTTATTTTCAGATTTTATAAATATTACATTATATTATTATTATATATAACAGGAAAATATATGTGCAAAAATAAGCATCTAAAGCAGAATCAACAGATGGAACAATTCTAGCCTGTCAGTATCTGACTTTAGCTTTTTTTAAATTCCCTTTCAACGTCTTGAGTTTGGGTTTCTGGCAATATCAAGACGGCACTGACAAGCGAAACAATATTTATTATTTTTACTGTCATATTCTGTGTTTATTCGTTGACAACAAGAGTACATTCAAACATGTATGATATGCATATTGCTATAGAGTTGATCTGTACAGATTCCTACTCAGGACTCTCCACACACATACGCACACAAATGCAACACGGACACACATAAAACATGAAATATTCAGCAGCAGAATGGAAAGTGCTCCAACGGATAAACAACCTTTCTCTCCTGATACACTTTTTCCACATTTGACTGGCAATTATCCGAAGCAGGAAGTGCTCAGTGACATTTCTGTCTTTATGGATGAAAACACAACTGTTTTAGAGGTATGATCCTTTCAGAACAGTGGGTTTTTTTTTACTTTAAAGAGCAACTTAACAACCCATTATAACATAAGCATGCCCTTTTAAAAAAAAAAATGCTTATAGAGATTCTAATGACCCAGAATAATTCAGCTTTGTGTGTGTGTAAGAGGTTTTCTTGGATGTATCTTCATCTTCTCCTGGTCTTTAAAGGTAGAATGGTTTCTTTTTATTGTTCTCTCTAGTGACCTCCACAGATTCTGGATGGAATTCAGATTTTTAAATTAAACCGAGCCATTTCAAAATTTTGATCTTGTTCTTTGTTTACCATTCTGGACCGTTAGGGTTGTATTTTTTGGATCCCTGTCCTGCTAAAGGGCTCTAACAATACAACAAATACAACAAAAGTGGTCAAGACTAGAAAAAAAAAGTATCTTGTTGAGGGCTAACAGTTATTTTCTATGTTCAATAAATCTTAATGCTTTTACTCTGTGCTCTGTTTTACTGTGTCACTTATTAGTTAATAGAATAATTTACACAAGCATGAATCGTAGGATCAATGAGTAGTTAGATTTTTATTCATAAGAGGAGCTGAGGGGGAGTTTTTGTTATAAAATCCTCATAGTAGTGAATACTACTAAGGGTAAAAGACAGGGAAGGTGCCGACATTCCTTTGATTTTAATTAGACTGCAGCATCTTTCCTGGCATTAGGACAGAGAGTTTAAGAGAAAATCAATCAATCATTCTATTCAATTTAATTTTGAATACGCAGTCAATCAAGCCTATTAGAATTTGATTTTAATACAAACCAAATTCAACCCATTAAATTCCCAAAACGTCCCAATTCAAACAGTCATTTAAAAAAAGTTCCCAGCATTTGCTAAGTCTGGAGCAGACAAAAAAAGATTAATTGTAATAATGTAAACAAATTTTGGACAAGGGCCCACCTTGATCTGTATCTTGCATCCTAGAAGGATGGACAACACGTTGTAAATTCGCAGAAAGTTAAATGACGGCTTACTTTAACCTCCTGTCTTGCCTTGGTAGTTTATGTTATGTAGATAAATACTTCCTGCGATCATTAGTTTTTTTAATCTAGTTTTCTCTTCCGTGGGGAAGGACTGTTCTAATTTATTTGTGTGGGTTGAACTGGGTCTATGGCAGTTCTTGTTTGGAGCAAATTTGTTTTGAATTGATATATATTTTTACAGGAATGGATTTGGGAAAATTCAAATAATTACACCACAAAAAGTCAATGTGTTAAAAAATGTACTATATCTGAAAATGGGCTGGGTGTTAGGTTACTCTTTAAAGATGGCAAAATATCATTAGTCAGTGGTATTTTTTAATGAAAAAACATCAGTGACTGCTGTTCTTTTTGTTCTTTCTCCCTTAATTTGTCACCCTGACATCAACAGAGCTCAGTGTCACAGCATAACCGAATGAATAAATAAAGCAGATATTTCTCTCTGCTATCTATGGCTATCTAGGACTATATGGCTTCTCATATATTTTCGATTATACGATTTCTTGTGCACCACGGAGCCATGCACTGCTAGTGTATCTGAGGGGGAATTATGACAAATACATGAAATGTTGGATTTAGCTTTTTCTTGTCTTTTTTTTTTTTTTTTTTAAAGAAAAGGTTTGAAACTGGGTTGTTTCTTTTATCAAGGCAGTGAGCAAAGCCTGGTACAGGTACAAGGATGCTTAGAAATGGCTGCACGTAATATTCCTCTAATGGATAAATATTCAAAATAAAAGTTAAGTAAAGTAAAGGCATAATCTGTCTGTAACACTCGGGAGGCTTGAAGAGAGTTTTAAAAGTCTTTAAAAAGGCCATAATTGGTGATATTTTACCATGGTGACTTCACAGAGAGCAATGTAGAGATGCATAAAGGAGTCCATAAAGTAGTGTGAAGATTTGAGCAGGGTAATTTTTTTTGTTTTGTTTTTTTAAGCAAATTAATTCTGAAAAAGTAACAAAAGGCCCTACGTTTTCAAATTTGAGTCCAAGTTTGTTTGGAAGCACATTAAGGTTTGGATGACAGCGGTCAAACAAATCATCCACGTGAAAGCAATCATGCTCAGATTAGTTTTTTTATCAACGAAACCCTGCTAATAGGTTTGTAACTTGCAATTTCTAAAGTGCTGGCAGAACACAAAAAGATGGAGGTGACTTCCCATATCAACATTCTTCTCAGCGTTTCTAAAACCTCACACTTAAAATCTCTTCTGCTTTTACCAAATTCTTAAATATCGATTGAGGACTGACAATGTTGTTTAACCCCATACATGGCGATTAAAAGAGCCAAAATAACCACATATTTACGGATAACACATAAAATTCTGAAAAAAATTAAAGGCTTGTGTCTTGGGGGAGGGGGATCAACAAATTAAGAACAAATTAATTAAAACAAATTCATTTGAACTCCTCAACCCCAACCCATATCTTTTGATAACCGAGTCTCCACTTAAACTGTTTGGACAGACCCACCTCACACTTCTTAAACATCTACCTTTTATAAACTCCAGAGTTTTAAAAAGGAAAACATGTCCAATTCTGGCCATTTCAGCCCCTGTTTTCCTGTTTGGAATCACATCCTCACAGCCAGTGAAACATTTCCCATTGACAGATTATTTAAATTTGGCTCGTTTATGCATCGTACAAACTAAATATACCACGCGTGGCTTTGACAGAGTTATGAGAATAACAGCACTTCACGCGTTTTTAAACCATCATAAGGCAGCTTTGAGATGAACCATGTCCAGTGTCTTAGTTACCAAAGCATAAACTGATCCAGAACCTCTTCGGATGGGAAATTTTGCACTGTCCCATTTAACATGGAAAAACAAAGACACATACAGATACTGCAACATTGTCCTTTACCCTTAAAGCTTCCTGTAAGTACCTCTATCAGATCAGTTTACAGTATTTCAGCTGAACTAAGTCATAAAAGATGTTGTAATATGAGTGAAAGGAACAGGGGGGAGGGTATTTATATTCACAGAGCTGATAAAAGGTCAGTTTAAAACAAAGATATGGCCTAGGTTTTCGGTTGACTATATCAGTGAGTGCCGCTGATTAACAGTCAGTCAGTTATCGTACTGTATTGATAGCATTGGAGATGCAGATATGTTAGAGTTCCTTCATTTGTTTGGAGCTTCATCGTTAGACGCTTCCCTGGAAACTTTATGTGGTGATATTTGAATTGATTAAGATGAAAAAGTCCAGCATCTTAAGGTTGATCAATACATTACACAACACTTAAACCAGCCTTTTGCAAAGGAATGTTTCTTGGATAAAGGATATTGATCAACTGCCACTACTGATCAGCCTAATTGTATTTAGAAAATTTTAATTTTTGGGACGGTGGGAGAATTTGTTCCTCCTCAAGGGAGAATTGGACAACCCCTATCCAGTTTAAATCTTAAATTCAGTAAGAACAATAGTTCTACAAAGTAAAATAATCAGGATATTCACTGCAAAATTCATTTTAAAAAAGGGTAATGAAAATAAATAAGTCGCTTTGGTTTCCAAAGTGAATGAAATCTGCCATAAAAGACAATAAAATAATTTCTACTTGTGTCTGTTAAATGAGATTCGATCAAATTACGGATTACAGAAGTCGATATTATTTAGTTGCAATGAGAAAAGTTCCAAACTTTTCTAAAAATGGAAAGTTTGCACTGATCAAAACACCTGAATTGGTTCACCCGCCAACAGGAATGTTATTTATGCTCGTATGATGGTGCCTGTTTCGGGGAAACTGAATTTTCTTTTGACTCTTCGCTCACCCGTGCAAAGCGCAGAAGTCGAAGTCTGCGAACGCTTGCTGCTGCTCTGCGGAGAGGCTGAGGGGCTTGCAGGGGGGCGACAGGACGGGCTGGAGTCGGGTGAAGTCACTGTCGAAGTTGCTGACGTCGGTGGGGGCTTTGATTGACGGCAAGAAGGGCGGTTTGGCTTTCTTGGCCAGCAGGGTTTCCCAGTCGATGATCTACCGAGTTTGGACAAAGTTACCCTCACCGAATCTCTGTTTACGGCTGTCCATATTTGCCCGAACGCCAAAAAAACAACACTTTTTTAAACACTTTTCAGTCACAAAGGTCGAGTGCGTGAGGTGTTTTTGTGTTTTGTGGACTAGTGTGTACAAATCCATCCCTCGGCAGGTTCAGACTAATTTAAAAATGCACTTTATATCTCTGAAAATATATTTCGAGAACTATCAACTAAGCATCTATTCAGGGCAGATCAATGTGACAGGATTGAGAGATATGATTTACCTCAAAGAATTTCTCTCCTTTGACTTCATTTGCGTCTCTTTCTCCAGCTCCAAGTCTCTTCACCGGGTTTTTCTTCAGCAGCTGTCAAAATATGTAGTTTGTAGATGACATAGCAAAAACAAGTTAAAGTTTCTTATGTTTTCTTATTAAAAAATTAAGACAAAGCCTTAACAAATAAAGTTAGACCGTTTCCTTAGTTACTTTTTTCGTCTAGCTGATGTTTTCACACTACATAACTCATTCACCCATTTAATACATTACTAATACATTCACAGAATGTCTTAAGAATGTTTTCTTCTGTCTACTCACAAACAATTCATTCAAATTTACGCTTTAAATGTTGCTACTGTTTTAGTGGTAGATTGGAAGACTTCAAAAGGACTATTATCATTATTGTTTCTATTTAATAAAGACATTATTTACTTATTTTTCTTCTAGATGGATGTATTTATGATATTCTGTTTGCTTCACAATAAAAAACAATTTGAGATGTAATTGTGGGGCTTTGTGTGCTCTAATGGCTTCAGACTTAGTTACTTCAGAATTGGGAGCCTTCTGGTGACTGTGGATCAATGTGTGGATGTTTTTTTTTGGGGGGGGGAGTATGCTTCTTCCAAGAAGAGATCCTGCATTTTTTTAAAGGCTTTCTGTCAAGATTTCTATGTGTTTCCCATGTAAAAAAGAACCCCCATCCAGATTTACTTTGAAGCTTTTGCCACTTCCAAAATTTCCCTTAAGATGATGCTGCTTTTGCCATGTTTGAAACTAAAGATTTTAAAGAAGTGGGTGATGTCTTTTCCAGGTACAGAAAAGTATTTTCTCATCATAAATATATATATTGTTAGTTCAATCTGCTAAAGTTAATTGCTGAATCACTACTGGCTGAATCAGAGTTGATTACAATCTCAAACTTTTGGCACATGCTTGGAATGACTTAAGCTTAAAGAAAAAACTTTCATTATAACAATTACAAATGATGAAATTTGAGTTTTACACAGGAACACCTTTGAGCATGTTTCTCTCCTGATAACAGGTTCTTATGTGGGGTTATTTCTAATAAACTGGAGATAAATGAGCTTTTTAATCATACAGTAAAGAATAATCAACTCCTGAATAGAAGATAACAGCTTCAAAATAAGAAATAGGGTTATCGATTTATGTAGTTTGGTTTAAACACTGGCAAAGTATTTATCTGTGAAAATGTATTTAGGTGTATGGATAAAGTACAAATGTGTTATTTTAACTAAAAAAAGGTTGCAATACCTATCAAAGTGACTTATTTCTGGTATTTTTCTACATATATGATAATACAGAGTTGGTGGGCCTACCTGGAATGTTTCTTACCACATTCCTATTAAAGTCACTACTCCATTTCTCTTAAATCACATCAGCAGTTTTCCTCTTTACCCGGTATGCGCTGAACATTTGAGTGAATTTAAGAGATAAGATGATGTTTCCTAACTTTCTGTATGATGGTGACGGCGTCGGCAGGAAGAGATGTCGGATACTGTACGTCATCGTTGACAATGCTGTCAAACACCTCCTCTTCATCTTCACCGGGGAATGGAGACTGATGGGAAAGCCAGGAGATGCGGAGTCAGCATTTTAACTTAGTTATAGCAGCAGTTATTAAATGAAAACAGTGAATCAAAATGAAGATTAAAATCAGCACTTAATATGAAAATTTTTTGCGTTCAAGCGTCAAAAACCGATAAAAGTTTGAGTAAAAGAGCAGCACGGGCGGAAATGAATTGACATGAACAACCTCTCCAACAAGCATCTCATAGAGGAGGACGCCCATCCCCCACCAGTCCACCGCTCGGGTGTAGTTGTCGTCCGTCAAGACCTCGGGGGCGAGAAACTCGGGAGTTCCGCAAAAAGTTGAGGTCCGATCTCCATGACCCATTCCTGCCCGAAATATAACACAGCTTTGTTACAAAAAATGATTGAAGAAACATCACAGATTAAATTCTGAGGGTGTAAACACGTAATGAACAGCTCTAAAACTCAGACCAAAAATGGCAGTCTAAAAGAAATGAAAACACAATAGGATTTTTTGAAACGGTTGTAACGAAATGGAACATTTTACCTTCTTTACAAAGCCCAAAGTCGGTGATTTTCACATATCCATCTACATCCATCAACAGGTTGTCAAGTTTCAGGTCTCTGTAAAATAACAGATTGCATCCGCCGAAAGTTACAGTCTGTTGGTCGTGAAATGAGGTCAATTAAGATGAATCTGACTTACCGATAAATGATTTTATTCAAATGTAGGAACTCTAAACCCAGAAGAACGCATGCTGAATAAAACCTGTTCGAGACAACAGAAGGATTTAAAGTGTGAACAATAGTAGGCTACTAAAAACTACATGCATGTGAGAGAAAAAAAACCTTAAACTATAAACTTTGGTGAGGTTACACACCTTGTCTGAGCTTCAGAGAAAACGTCGGTGTGGATGTGGATCATGAGGTCTCCACCCGGTAGGTACTCCATGACGAAGCACACGTGGTCGCAGGTCTGGAAGCAGCTGTGGAGGTTGACCAGGAATGGATGTCTGGAGGCGTTGATCATCTCAAAGATCCTCTTCTCGCTCATAAGGCTGCAGGAGGACAACCCCAAATCAGCACGGTCTTCTCTGACCTTAAACTCTGGAGCACTCCGATCTCTGGACCATCATCCACAGATGGAAATGAATAAGTTTCTTACAAGCGCACAGACAGAAGTTTTCTACAACCGACATGCAGCCAGATCAATATTTCACAGGCTTTCTCTGCTCAAAACATAGAATGTTGTTAAAACCTCCATATGGGATGTGTGTTCGACTTCCACAACAACAGTACCCTGTGCGGTGTATGGTTATCCCCTGCCTTGACTATTGAAACGCTCTCCTGGTTGGTCTTCCAGCCTGTACTGTACCATCTGTACAAATTATCCAGAACACGGTGGTGTTCAATCAGCGCCAAAAGTCCCACATCACCCCTCAAATCACTGGCTACCACTAGCCACCCGCTTGAAATTCAAGTCACTGATCGTAGCCTACAAAGAGTTTCAGGATATACGGCTACTATCCGTTTGAATACTCTCGCAAAGGTTTATGTCACAACTCGCCCACTCCGGTCATAGAGCAGTGCCTACACCACGCTTAAGACAACCCAGACTCTTTTTATGTGTCGTTCCACGATGGTGGAATGACCTACCAAGTGCTACGAGAACAGGGCCGCTGTCTATCTTCAAGAAACTGTTGAAGACCCAGATTTTCAGAGAGCATCTCCAGCCCTAATTCTTAGCCTGTACTCCCACCCCCCTCTACTACTCTTTCTAAACTTCTTTATATATCCACACTGTTGCTTCTAACATAGTTTGACTAGAGATTTTTTTGAGTGTATCTCATTGTCAGGTTGATGCTAACTGTAATGTTGTATCTGCATTGTAAATCGCTAATATAAAAACGTCTGCTAAATGCATAAACATAAAAGATTTGGGGGAAAAAAGTGGTGTTTTAAAGTTTTCTGTGTCCTTTCACATACCTGTCCACTTCATCTCGACACACGATGTCACTTTTCTTCAAGGCTTTGATGGCGTACAGTTTTCCTGTCTTTTTAAACTCTGCCAGCAGCACCTACTCAGAGACAGAAATCATACAACTGACAAACTGAGGACAAAGAAAAGCAGAATATTTAATGAGTTTCTCAGACAAATAAAAACATATCTGTTACCTTTCCAAAGTGACCGCGTCCCAGAACTGAAATAAATCTGAAATCTTCACTCTGCATCCTTATGAGGGACAGAGCAAAACAAGATTAAACGTCATGTGGCACGGTATATAAAACAACATCTGTGAGAACATGTGTGCAGTTGTATGTACTTTAGAGCAGATACAGTCTGATCCTCATTTCCATCTGTAGTGTCCGTGGATAACTGCAAAGAAGGACAAAAGATTGAGTTAAAAATGAGTAACATAATCCCTTCTCCAATAGAAAATAAACCTTTGATTTTTTGGTAACTAAAACACTCACATTGGGAAGTCACAGAGCTTACATACTAAATGAGCTATGAATTGATAAAATGTATCGATCTATTATCTGTGTAATGTATATTTGATGATATCTGATCTATATTATGAATGAAAAATCATGCCATATAATAAATCACCACCTGTTTTTCTGCATTGTGTGCCGTGTTGACAGAGCTGGGGAGGTCATCTCTCCGGTCAGTGCTGATTGGGGACGGCTGATCCTCACTGATGCTGAGGCTGATAACGGGAGCTTTGCTGCAGGTGAATAAATACACACCACCAGTGACGGGAGATGGATTCAGAATCCGAACATGTGGAAGTAACAGGAGAAACATGAGAAAAACAGAAGTCTTGATTCCACTGGCAGGATACCTTGTGAGGGATATATCATGTTAAGAGCTCATAATGATATGAAATATTGTGTAAGTGAACACTGATGCTACATGTTATGGTTCCCAAATTATAGGTTATTTTAAGTTATCAGAATATAGATGGGGAAAGTCATGAGGAAAATGAGAAGGAGTGGGAGTTCAGATACACAAATGTTTGTATCATTAAGTACTTCCTGCTTTGTGTATTTTAATTTAATATAATTTCCATGGGATCAGACTTCCTCCTTTCCCTTAAAATTGTGTTTTTGATTTAATTTCCTTTTAGTCTCCCCAGGACAGAAACATGGCTGCCTCCTTTGTATACTTTAAAGTACTTTAACACTACTCTTGACATAGCAGTTCTTGCATGTGTAGAATTGAAGAACAACAGGGGTTGATGGCATAACCCTCTCTTGTTGCAAATGTAAATAAGAAATGACAACTTGAACCTTTTCACCACAGGACAGTGATGAAAAACAGACAACATGCACCAGTCACAAACCAAGGAAAATAGCTGTTACCACAGAATTCATTTTCAGCCAGATTTTCAAAACTGTGTTAAACTATGTGTGAGCTTTGAACAAGGGCTTTTCACGCTTCAGTTTGACACCTTTTTCCAGATATTGAAGTGGATGGAACTTAATAAATAAAAAATACAAAATGTTCCATGGAACAATAGTGCCATCTAGAGGTGTGTCGCATTCAAATCTCATGGTCTCATAATTTAGATGAGAGGTGTCCAAAGTTGGTCCTCGAGGGCCTCTGTCCCACAGGTTTGGGACAGAGTTGGACACTCCAATTTAAACAATCTGCTTTACTTAATAATACACATTGTTCCCCTTTTACCATGTTTGTCATATTGTTTTCATCTGGTGAAACCATTAACTATTTGCATCTGCAGTGTGCAATCTTAATCTTAAGGACCATTCTCTGTTGTGCAATAGTCTCTTTTTTTTTATAGCACATGGCGTATTCAATGAAATTCTCTTCTAGTCATTATACCATAGCATATTTCAAGAACTTAGACCAACCGAATGGAAACATATTTCTTGGTCTTAAAAAACTTTTAAAGATTTCAAAGTTTCCTATATCATTAACAAATGTTGAGCTAAAATTGATAACTTAGTTACCTTGCCCATGGTTACCATTACCAACAGTATTAGTTTCGGACGCATTTTTTTCGATTCTATGGTTGTTATCCCAAGTTTAGAGCTGTTCACTATTGTTAAGTAATTGCTGAATTTCTTATTTAGTGCAGTAATTCAAAACGAGAACTCATGAAAGTAGACTAATACAAACTAAAGTTTTCCTCTCACTCTAGGAAGGTGGTGCCCCCTTTTATATTGAGGATTTAATTTGTTAATAGTAAAACACCAATATGCTACATACTGCTGGTTCAGTTCTCCACACCCCTGAAGTACTATGGAGCCATGGCTTAAGATATTTATCACAGTTCCTGAATCGGTGGTGAGGATATGGGTGCAGACCACGAATGGGTAGGTGACAGGAAATTAAACTCATTTAAGATTTCTTAAAGGAATGACAGTCAAGAACAAACCCTAACCCTAACCCAAAAAACAAAATACAAATGTTAATAGAAAACTAGACTTAGAAATGAACAAAGACGCTAAACCAGGTAAAGAAGGAACAAGGACCCAAGGAGAAAACGGTGGGGAAGCAGAGTCAATTGAAAAATGCAAGGACTTTACAAGAAGAGCAGAAACCCGAAAGCTAAAGTATAGGGGAGAGCGATTACAGAATTTATGTAGTTGAGGATAATAAGCAGGATAATTAGGTTAGGTTAACCAGGAACTACACTAGACTTTAAAGGCAAAGTAATTAAAATGATAAATCCACACAGGGACTGATAAGACAGATCATTCTCTCCCAAACTAGTTTCTATGGTCAATGTAGAGTCTCCACCCAACCCAGCATTTATTTGGATGATTGGAGAAAATGCAAACTGCGCACAGAAAGGGTGCCAGCCAGGATTCGAAACCAGGAGCCCACACGAAATCATGATGCGTATTAAAGTTCCTGACCTTGGCAGTGATGTGGTGTTTTTAGCCTCCTTTTCAGCCGAATGTGAGGTGCTGTTAGCTACCAGGTCAGAGGTCATGGACAGATGTGAACTGAAGGTGGGGAAGGAGCTGTAGCGGGGGAGGATGCTCATCATCAGGTGACCCCAAGTAGCGAAGTTCATGTTCATCTGGGCGGCTCGGAGAAAGTTCTTCCCTGGCAGAAAAATATTCTAATAAAGACATGACTCAGAAAGTAAAAGTACACAGTCTAAATCTGTCAACGCTGCCCATCGGTTGTACCTCTCTCTTTAGTGAAGATGCACCTCTGTCTTCTCAGTTTTGGCTGCCGCTCAACCACAGTGTTGATGAATTGAAGCTGTGAAATAAAGAGGATTAGACAAAATAAGTGTTCTGATGAATGATATTATACTGGAGAAACTAGACATTATTTGTGCACTGGTTTGACACATAAAGATCTGAGAAAACTGCCATATAGTAGCATTGTATTTATCTAAGTGTTGACACATGTCCGCCAGTGGCTGCTTTGCTATTTGTGTTACATCTGTAGCATGCATGAGTCAGTGTATAATATTAAAAAATGGTCTCCGATAAAAGTCATTATCTCCAGCCTCCTGTACAATTTTGGTTCCTTGTGCAGCTATCCAAAGGGAATGTAATATGTGAATATAACAGGAAGACGCTCAAACCACAACCGTAAATGAGGAAAAATACTGATTTAAAAGGAGAAACTTAGTTGTACAGTCAGGTACACCTTTAAACCTTTTTATAATTCTACCCTATACTTCAGGCAAAACCATCAATCAGATAATTTCACCATTCGTTTGAGAACTTGTCCATTTTTGACAGTAAAATCAGTAATGTGACCATGTCACCATCAGCCTTTGCTTTAATATGCCAATAAAAAGTGTGAGGCCCTTGGGTGTACCTTTGTGTAGAGGAGGCCCTGTGGCTCCAGACTGACCCCCAGGCTGTCATCTGAGTTGTCCATCACCTCCTCCAGCCGCAGGAACTTCACTGCACACATGTCCCTCCGGTCCCTCCAGAAGATGCACACCTCCAGCTCTCGAGACTGTCGGCAGTTTGCCAATGGACACAGTGTTTGATTCAGCGCATATAATTAGTTGATCCGTAATTAAAAATCAACATAAAACTTAAATCTTATTTAAAAGTGATAACTTGAGCTAGAGATCAGTAAGCTTTTTGTCAAAGTGTTTAAGGAAAAACCTACCCAGTATCCTAAGACTATGTTGTTTTGTGGATTCTGGAAAAGATATTTGAAGAAAGAATGCCCGTCTCTTATTCTTTATGAGAAAAAAACACCTGAAAGATTTTGTGCATTGACCCAAACCCAACTGAACTCTGTTATGAGATATCACAATGCAGTAAATAAATAGAAGGATTAAAATTTGCAAGTGTGAGAGTGACGCTTCAAGAGCTAGATGTAATTCCAATAATATAGTATTTTCCGTAATTTCTGTATTTTCTGGACTATAAGTCGTACCGGAGAATAAGTTGCACCAGCCACTATATCAATTATAAAGAAAAATAAACCATAAATAAGTTGCACTGGACTGTATGTCACATAGACATTGGTAAATGGATTGAGAATCTATCTATCTATATTAGTTATCTATAAGTCGCTCTGGAGAATGGGTCTCAGCCCGGACAAAACATGCAAACAAAGTGCCACTTCTAGTCCAAAAAATACGGTAATCATCATCTTTGCTGCAAAAAAGTGGTGACTCCTCCTCTTACTATTCACAAAAACAAAGCTCACATGAAAGGAAAATATCATAATCTGATCATTTAGCTTTTTATGAGTAGAAACACCACTTAAGCAAAGTGTCTTTTTTCATCTGCTACTGCACACTTTTCAGTTTGAAATAGGCTGATGTACTATCAATAATAAATTAAATACACAGGAAAACCTGCTTGAATGTAAATGCCTTATGGGAGAAAGAAAGAGCGCTTAAGAAATGCTTGCAACTTTAAAAATGGGAGGCTTTTAAAATATGGAAATACTTGGAGGGGAAAAAGTATTTAATGCTGGCTTGAATTATCAGTCGGGTCTCACGTAAAAAGGGCAAAACGGCAATATATCACACTTTTAACATTAGACAACATAATTTGTTCTTCGTTGGATCTGACAGAGTTAACTAATCTGGTCCATAAGAAGCTTTATTCTTTCTGTCACAGCTCCAACAAGGGCAAACCTCAGGATACAAGTAACCAGACATTTGCCATGTGTGAGAAACATAAACATACTTAAAGGTTTTTAAGCACTTGATAAAGTCTGGATAATTGACTGCCCTTTCTGCTGGTTAATCATCTTACATAAAATTTAAGAGAAGCTTAAGAAAAAAGGGGAAAAAACAACTAAAAGTGCAGTAATATTGAATAAATGACTTCTTGGATGCTGGAAAAATCCTGATGCACACTTTATTGCTTTAAAGACACAACACAACAAACAATAAAAGGATGATCTAACAATATTAACCCCTAAAAGTTGTTTATGAGCATGCTTTCTTTTTTTTTGGTAGGGATTATGTTATTTGATCAAGACAATTGGCCTTCCATTTTATAAGGAAATGGGACAAAAAAAACCAGAAAGAAAATGTGAAAAGTAAAGTTCACTTTTGCTGCCATGAGAGATTTAGATCTTAGTTTAAGCCTCTAGGATTTTTGCCTATTCCTCATGACAGAGCAACTACAGCCTTCAAGCTGCTGTGCATAAGTCTTTAAGTCACCAGACTTTCTCATCAAGATTGAGTGTTGGATTTTGACCATTGAAAGATTTTTAGGAATTTCCCCTTAAGTCACTCAGGTGTTTATGATCTTTATTCTGAATTTCCATCCTTAAGTTCTGTCCATTTTCACACATCCTGCTGATGACAAACCTCCCCAAACCATGATGCAGCTCCCACCATGCTTCATTTGGGGGTGTGATGTAATGATTTTCTGTCCTACTCTTTTTTTAACTGGTGGTTAATCATGTTTTATTCCCATCCGCACCTTTATATCCACATGCTTTGTAAGTATCCTAGCAGTCTCTTCTGGCCTCTCCTCCATGAAGCCCATTTTTGTTCAGAGAGAGAACAGTTTCCATTGGTTTTACTGTAAGTGCTCAATATTTGTTGCTGAGAGGCTGCTTCACTGATAATTACATCCTCTCTATTCCTGCTTTAGTAATTCCTTTCTTGCCTGTTTGAGCTTTGGTAGCTTGTCTTTCTTGGTATATTTGTTCATGTAACAAATAAATTCCTGTTTCCAACCATCACATTCTCAAATGTTTTTTATCTTGGACTGTTTTGTATTCGTCCAGTACATAAAATCCTGCAACATATTCTTTTATATAAGAATTTATAACACAACAAACGGGCAAAGACGTACACGCTCCAGCTGGATGCAAAACGTCGTCTCCCAGCTCAACCTGCCAGTGGCTGCCCAACTCGTCCGTCCCACCACTCTGCCGTCCAGACGAAGCACTGCCCTGATCTCAGCTGTGAGACAGACAGTGACATAAAGCGAGTGGTAAGGCATGGAAAGGGTGAGCCTGAAAAATCCCATAGTTATGCTGCTACAGGCCCAGCCTGATGGGGGACCTCAAATTATGAATCTCTTTCTACTTTTGGCCCCTTTTTCCTCGTGTATATGAGACATTGTTTGTCTCATGTCTCATGAAGACTCGCCCTTTCTGAGTCTGGTTGTGTCACAGGTGCCGTTAAAGTGTATTTTTTCTTTCCACAGTCGCCTCATGCATGTACAGGATAAGGGATTGGAAGAGAAGATTCAGCCTTATCTGCCATTTTCTCTAGCCAGGAACTACTTTTAAAATTTGGCTCAGTATGAAATGGGTGTTTAAGGAATTTAATGAACTTGAACAGATTGGATTCTGATTGGATTACAGTAAATTGGATTTTAATTGGCTCGAATTGGACTATATTTTGGAAGATTACATTTTTTGTGACTTGGCTATGTGTTCATAAAATGTAATTAAACGACTCATTGGCCTGACCATAACAAATTACAGCAAAAGTTGAATGTTTGTTTGTGCATTTAGCAGATACATTTATCGAAAGTGACTTACAATTCAGATACAACACTACAGTAAACAACATTACAGCAAACAATAAGCTACTTAGTAGGAAATCACTAGTCAGACGATAGTGGCTGGGCAGGCACAGGGTAAGTGTTAGGGTAGGAAATACTTTCTGTAAAAAATGGGTCTTCATGATCTTCTTGAACCTAGAGAGGGACACCCCTGTTCTCACAATGCTTTTTTCCGCCATCATGGAACAACACATGAAAAGAGTCTGGATTGTCTTAAGTGGTGTAGGCTCTATAATGCTTATCCTTAATGCTTCCACTTTTTATTGCATATGAATTATGCATCAAGCATGTTTATTCATAATGTTTGTGCTAAACTACTCAATAAACTATATATTTTTTAGACAATTTATTTTTAAAGGCCAGTGACGGATTAGTGACCTGTCCAGGGTGTACCCTGCCCACCGTGACCCCGTTGGGAATAAGTGGTATAGAAAATGGATGGATGGATCTTTAAAGGCTCACAATTTCCACACAGTTTCTCAGAAATTCCTGGAAAATTTAAATATTATTAAAAGACAAACTTTATGTGTTTCTGGAAAATGTTTGTGAAAATTGTTGACAATACTTAAAAAATAAAGAGTAAACTTAGTCATGTTTTGCATCATGGAATATGAAGATAGAGGAATGTCCCTTTAAGAAACATTTAACTTAATTGTCCCATTACTGGGAAGTACAACTGTCCTGTAAAAAAAAAAATCAACAAGTTATCTAACCATGAAGGAATTTGAATATGAAGTATGTAAACTTACTAGATGAAAAGTCAGTCTTTTGAGGAACCAAGCTGTCTTCAGTAGGAGTCAGAGGGTTTTCTTGTTCAAAGCTATTCGGAGGCTTCATTAAATCCTCACATCCAAGAAGCCTGACTTCAAGTTTGCCTAGAAAGTGTAGAAAGAGAATTTAAGGTTGAAAAGAAGCTAGAATATAGGTGCTCACAGCACAGACATATCAAAACAAGCCCAACAGTAAGAAGCCATGTTTGTTTTGAGTGTTTTGAGACCAAAAATGAGATCTTTCATTTGTCAGGAATAGTCCTACACTCCTGCCTTTAATTATTGCTTTCTGGAAAATAATTTCTGGAAAGTCATTTTAACAGATGCGGGGCTCAAAATCACCTCAAGTATTTTCACTGCTCTGAGTCTTTGTCATTATTTGCTCCTAAGAGAGCAACTCCAGCATTCGTCTCCTTGTTACATCATCGAGAGGCTTTTTTTTCCTCTATTTTTTTTTGTTTGGCTCACACTCAGAGACACCAGCTTAGAGCTGAAGAGTCCAAGACCAAAAGCTTACATGTCGTGATTACCCATTGCCAGAGGTCATCTCATGGCAAACCCTGTTCAGCTGTGACATTTTACATAGAAAGCAAAGAAAACTATCGAATTGAGATTTTCTGGACAACTGGTTTTGCCCTTTGCTATTTCACAGGTTGGTAATGATTTTCCACTGGTTTCCTGTCAGCCATCTCTCAGTAATATCTGTTATTTATCAGTAGTCAGAGGTAAAATAAACAGTGTTAAATAAACAAAAACCATTTAGTTATAGTTAGATAAGTGTGACAACAGCCAACCATTAATCCAAAAAATAAAAATACAATGATTAACTTGTTTGACTGACAGAGGATAAATATGTTTTTCTTTTTGCTAATATTCATGAAAAGTTATAATGAAAATATTGGTCCATAATACAAAGAGTAACATAATTTGAAAACTGAAATTAATGCACAAATACATTTAAGAAATGCAATCCAACAAAAATCTCAATTGGGATTTTTTTTTAAATCCTACACTGTGTTCTGAGTTCAAACCAGTCAAATATGTTTTTCTTTTTACTAATATTCATGAAAATTTATAATGAAAATATTGGTCCATAACACAAAGAGTAACATAATCTGAAAACTGAAAGTCATGCACAAATAATTTCAAGAAATGCAATCCAACAAAAATCTCAATTGGGATTTTCTTTTTTTAAATCCTACACTGTGTTCTGTGTTCATACCAGTCAAAGCAGCAGGTCTGATGGAGAAGATGGATGGTGAGGTGGAGAGGGAAGACCCATGGGTGGTATTTAGGCTTGACTGAAGTCCTCCCGTATGGTCAGTTCCCTCCTCAGGTTGCTGTAGAGCTTCATGCTGCTTTTCTTTCAGGTGTTTCTCCAAAGACAGCTGCAGAAGGTCCAACTTCTGGGAAGTCTCCTTCACTCGAGACTGAGCCTGACAGACAAGATACCCCATTCATTCATATCAGGGGGGCTTCTGTGTGGCTCAAGTTTAAAGACAGGTATCAGCAACTGGGCCTCACCTCAGCCAGGGCCCCCTGGTCCAGTGTTGGGATGGCCTCCATCTCTTTCACCACGTCTTTAGCCAGCACCAACGCATCGGTTTCTCTCTGCATGTAATGTTGCAGCTCTGCTAAACGACCATCCACAGGACTGATATTGACCGGAGAGATCTCTGAGGGGAAAGTACAACAGTGAATAAATAATGATGAAGGAATTCCTTTCAGAACTGTGATAGATTTCCATATCTCTGCACTGAACCTTTTATCTCCTGCAAACCTCATTCGGTCATGTGAATGCTGTTTGCAAATGGATTTAAATGCTCTTTCTCTGAAATCCTATCACACCCAAGGAAGCAGTCTAAATATATACCTTTTGCATGTTTCTGGTGTTTAACTGACACTATCAGTGTGAGTATGATCACTCCAAAAGCCTTTTTATCTTTTCTATTTTTTTTGTAAATAAGTTATGCTTTTGTTGATTTTGAATGTATTTAGAAGTCCTACAAATATATTTTCCACAAATATATTTTCACAAATAAAGACTCCAAAGTGAACACAAAAATGGAAAGCTGAGCATAAATGTGAATATATTTATATATATTGTCTTATTTAATGTAAATTTTTTGTTGCTGTTGTTTGATAATGAGAACCCTGGATTTTTAAATTTAAAGGTAAATATGAAAATTTGAAAATTTAAAGAGCGGAAGAAACAGATTCAGAGCAATCATCACAATATTTTTATGAAGCACAAAAACTTTACTTTACATTACTTTGGGAACGTTCACTGAAGAGGACAGGCAGTCAAATAACTTTACCCATACAATATTCCAGTCACCATTTCTTTAGCTGCTCAGACTTCAAAAAAGAGTTTGAAATCATGTCTTCCAATTGTGGGGGTTGAGACCACAGTTCTCACTTGGCAATAGTTATCTACACAGTGAGTCTACCTCGGGCAGTTTGCTGTGATTGACTAAAGGGCATGCTGGCATAAACACTCGCATATGCAGCCACTCTGGAAACACCACTTTACATGACAAAGATGTTTTTGCACTGGCTGAGGAAGATTCAGAGAACCCTCTTTTGTAATGGGGGGATATGCACATGACACTGGATGACAATGTTAGCCATCACACCACCAGTAAAAAAACTGAATTATGCATTAACACAACAATGCTTTTACAATGAACAGAGCAAAAACCACAGAAAACCGATGTTAACAGCAGCATTTTCTCTAAAAAAAAAAGAGACTTAGCTAAATTCTTTGTGGGAGTAAAACCAAGAATATCAACTTTTATCTTTTATTGATGATTATTGATTTATTTATCTAAATGAATATAACAATTTAATTTGCATCCTATTACTCACAGAACAAAATTTTGATCCTGGCATTTTTAGGAGAAAAAGACATGTTTTCCTGCCACACAAAAAAGCAAACTATTACATACAAAACCTAAAGGGCATGACAGGTAAGGTTTTCATAACACTGATTGATTTATTTCATTTGAACATCTTGCCATAAAGGATTTTTTTTGTTTCAATTAGCAAAGTGATTACTGTCTCTTGAAAAAAAAACAGACTATCACAAGAAACAGGTGGAATGATCTTATCATCAAAGTAAATTTATGACTCTTGTAAACATTCACACGTCCCACAACTGACCTCCATGAGTGGAGCTGTTGTGGATCCCAACACCGTCGCCACTGATGCCTGCCTGGGTGACTTTGATAATCTGCAGTCGGATCAGCTCGATCCTGGAGCGGCTATCTTGCAGCATCTGCTGAGCTGTTGACAACATCTGATCCTGGAAGTTTAACAAAAAAAAAAAAAAAGAAAATCACATCAAGAGAAAAAAAAACCTCACTTTAAAAACAACCAGCCTTGGCTGGGACTAGAGCACGTTCACAAACATACACAAATGTAGTTCAGCAAAAACAAGCGGCAGGGCGAGGGGAGTCAACTCCATGCAGGAGAAAAACAACAGTTATGAGTGGGAACAATATGTCCACGCCAGTAGCAAACAGTATGACTTTGCATTTTACCAACCTCAGGGTGATCCTTCACTCCTTGCTGATTAAGGACTAATTTGTCATCCTAAGTAGTAGGGTGGGGAGTGCTTCTCAGGTTGCACCTCTCCACCTTCACTATCCTTGAAATACAACAAGTCCTGTAATGTTATGGTGCGTTCAAAGACCCACTTTGAGTCGGGGCTCTCCTAACGCAGCCTCTCCATCCTGTGACCTGGATCCTGATGTTTGTTTGTGCCTTCCTGCAACCTCTGCTTTAACATCCCCTTCCCGTGACATCCTCATCCACTTCATTGTCACCAAGCACCCACCCCCACCCCACCCCCCACACCCCTCCACTTTTTCTCGGTTTCTCTCCGCAGAGGGGAAAGCAAAACTCCTCCTCACGGCCAGCCCCGCCGCTGCTGATCGGACTGTACTGACTGTACCGAGCTCTGAGCTCGGCATTGGCCGCCGCATGACCACATGCTCCTTTTCTGCCACCAACCAAAAAGACAAACACAGAGCTCCTGCTGCTCTCTTGAGGACAAAGCAGAGATGAGCCGTAAAGTGTTCGGGGGATTTGTTTAACCTGCGCTCACACTAAGACCACTTAGATTCAGTTTGATGAGCTCAATATACATCAAATAAAAAGAAAAGTAAAAGCGTTTGCTCTTGCTGCAGGATATCCCAGAGAAAATAGCCGGGTTGGTTTACTGACAAGGCAGTGAATTCCCATAGTGACTGTTGACATGGACAGACAGCAGCTCTGTGGTTGATGTGGTCCAAATGATAGCACAGGGGGGTGGATAACTACTTGAAGGCCATTATTCTAAATAGACATGAAGGGAGGCACTAAAGGAGGGGGGTTGAGGGTGGGGCAATAAAAGCAAAATGTAAACATATCTAACTAAGAAACAGGACACAATGATATCCCTCAACCAAAGTTAAGAAAGGCATTGCATACATTTTTAAAAGACAAATCTAATTAACACTGTCTAATAGTTCTCATCTGTATCTCATATTTCATATCTCATATCTCATATATGTTAAGAGTTATATAGAGTGGATTAAAAAAACAAAATAAACCAAAACACAAATTAACCATCTTTTTGGAATGAAATATGTAAAATGAGGTAAGAATTGAGGTAAGAATTTGTATGTTGTTCAGATTAAAACGAGAGTGTGAGTTAATGCAATTCAGCTGATGTTTATGAATGCAAGAACAGATAAAAATATATAAATATATATGTGTGTTTATTTAAATGCATTGCAACATGTAGTGTAATAAATTAGGTAGTGTGATAAATATGATAAATATATTATGAAGAACCACTTTACACTAATCTGAAAGAATCCATTTGCAAAATATGAAAAGTGATAAGCCCACATTTTGCATTTCATTATCTGCCTCTCGTTCACCAAGTTACAGCTTTTCCTCACTAAACTGCTAACTGTAAAAGTAGTATTAGTTGATGCCGCTTCGTTAATAATCACATATACGTAATGAGACTTTACAAAAATTAACCAATATTTTTGTTATTTTACGTACTTTATCGTGACTAATGTGCTAATTAGCACTGACCACCAGAACATGGATCCCACTTCAACTGATATTCAGCCTTTTTATAAGTGCGCAAGTGCGAGTCGGTCCAACTGAAGATTTGGCCTAGGCCGGTAAAATCTAATTTTTTGACCGCAATTCGTTTGGTCATCACGTGTGAGAATTTAATAAGTAATAATTTTAAGTTTCATCGATCTTGGGTTTGATTTAAAGAGAGGAGAGGTTACTAAATCAGCAAATTGGAGCCAAGTAGAGAGACCTATTTTGAGAGGCGGAGCTCGTCTTTGCTCCATTCGGCAAGGCGCGTTCGTAATGAAAGGAGCGCGTGAGCAAGGCTTGCTGTGACTTCCTCGCTCATCGGCAGCTACATTGTGTGGAAAGCAGCACGTTGTTGGCTTCCCCACGCTGAACTTTACAGCGATTAACGGTCTCCTCTTCCAGGAGATTTAAACCTACCAGCTATCTTATCAGACGTCTTTAAGTTATCTCAGATTGCGAAAAAATGTCTGCCTCGGCGGCAAAAGTGAGTAAAAAGGAGCTGAATTCGAACCATGACGGAGCGGACGAAACCTCCGGTAAGGGGAATGGCGGCCTCCAGTTCAGCGCCATTTTCACTTTCTTCCTTAACATAACTTGTATATTCACTAAATGTAAAATACTTAAAAGATTATTTACTTTTTCTGTTTTGCTTCAGCTTAACATCACTGCAGCGAGTTTGCTGTTTGCGGCATCGGTTGCTGCGTATTTTCGTATTGCGCTAGCTGCTGTGTGGCTAACGCGTTTATTAGCATGCCGCTGCTCTAGCCTTCTGTTGTTTAGTGCCGAGAGGCCATGCTAGCCAGGTCGTTTAGCATCATCAGCGTGGTTAGTTAATGTCGGTGGATTTTGAATGCGAGTTGTCCTTGATAGTCGCTGTTGAGATTACCCTGTAGCTTTTATCCAAAAAAGGCTATATCAATGCTCACATTAGGGTCCACTAAGCATATTGGGTCGTTAATAAATTAAAATAGGTATTAGCAGTTAGCTTGCTAGTGTTGTTGTTGTAGGGTTACCTAATGGTAGTTGACGACATTGTGTGTTGCTTGTTACTGCATCTAAAGGAATTGGCTCTGCTATCGAATAATTATAGTATTTTTAAAACCATGCGGGGCTGCAGGCTCTCAAGTCGGCAGCGAGGGGCTATATCATGGGCATTTGTCCCAGCACGATCTCTCACGCTATAGTGGCGCTGTCTGCAGTCTGCTGTCCCACATTTAAACCACGCGGCCCTGTAGGTTTCAGCCGGCAGGAAACAGTGAGCGTCTTTACCGCTATCGCTGCAGCCATTGGCCGCTTACCTTACCCTAACCTCCGGTAGAACTCGGATTGTAATTAATCCGTTCACGTGTTTTCTCTACATATAGGTTTTATTAAAATACCACCTGAAACCATTGGATTTATCTACTAGTATTTTCTCACTTGCGTTTATCGCATGGTTTACGATTGCAATAAACAACTGGCTTCCTTTTTTTTTCTTTGTGTGCGTGCTGCTCCTACAGCTTTTGACCTGTGAAACTTTTTTCCCCCTTCTTTTTCACAGAGAAAGAGCAGCAAGAAGCAATTGAACACATCGATGAAGTTCAGAATGAAATTGACAGGTAAGAATGATAATTTAAGATGAGTTGAGGGAGAAGAAAAAATATATACTGCTTTTTTTTTTTTATAAAATCACCTTTTGGGGAGTCCCAGACAAATAGTTGTTGGACAAATGTTCTAATAAAATAAAGTATTAAGTCTGTATTTGCACTCTGAATGAAATCAATTTATAACACAATAATTAATGTAATTGGCTGAACTATTTAAAGGGGTACAAATTGAAAAGATCTAGATGGGAAATATACATTTGTGTGGGATGGGAACTTGATTCACAGTAAACAGCCTTTGGATATGAGCTGGGAATTTGCATACATGTTTTAGTAATAATACTTATGTTCTTTTTTGTGTAGGCAGTATTGACTGGAAAACCTTTCAGCCAAAATGTAACAAAATGTTGACTTTAACTTTGCCCAACTTTCTAGGTTGAATGAGCAAGCAAGTGAGGAGATCCTGAAAGTAGAACAGAAATACAATAAACTCCGTCAGCCATTCTTTCAGAAGAGGTCAGAACTGATCGCCAAAATCCCAAACTTCTGGGTCACCACATTTGTCAACCATCCACAAGGTGAGCAAGTTGTGCTTGTGGCACAGAGTATGTATAGGAGCATCGCAATTACTAGGTAAATTCTCCACTATATAATATTTTTCTCAACAGTATCTGCCCTTTTGGGGGAGGAGGATGAAGAAGCACTTCATTACCTGAGCCGAGTGGAGGTGACAGAGTTTGAAGACATCAAGTCAGGCTACAGAATAGATTTTGTAAGTATCTGTTACATCCTTTAAGATTAGTTGTTTTTCTTGTTTTTGTGCTCTGACGTTTTTTTTCTTCTTCTAGTATTTCGATGAAAATCCGTACTTTGAAAACAAAGTACTTTCCAAAGAGTTCCATCTGAATGAGAGCGGAGACCCGTCTTCAAAATCAACAGAAATCAAATGGAAATCAGGAAAGGTACGTGTCCATCCGCGAATCAGCTGCCAATTTACCATGTTAACATGCTTATAATCTGACCGGCTGGCATCTGTGAAGGTATGCACACCGTGCAGTGTAAACATTTGCGCTTCATTTTTGCAGGACTTAACCAAGCGCTCTGGCCAGACACAGAACAAAGCAGGGAGGAAGAGGCAACACGAAGAGCCCGAGAGCTTCTTCACCTGGTTCACCGATCATGCTGATGCCGGTGCTGATGAGCTGGGGGAGGTCATCAAAGATGACATTTGGCCAAACCCTTTGCAGTACTACTTGGTAGGTTTTGCCACACACATGTCTTGGAATTTTTGAAGTGATGTTTTGCAGCATAGCTTCTTGTATAAAGTCCCCACAGTAAGCAGCAGTGCAAAATGCATTCGATGTAGTCGTATTAAAAGAAGAATGTGTTTGATTTCTTTTTAACCTCCAGGTCCCTGACATGGATGATGAAGAGGGTGAAGGTGAGGAGGATGAAGAGGATGAGGAGGGTCTTGAGGACATAGATGAGGAAGGAGATGAAGACGGAGAAGAGGATGAAGAAGATGATGGAGATGATGGAGAGGTAAGTTGCCAGAAATTGCGAAATGATTGACCGTAATTTGTTTTCAACACTGACGATGATTGTTGTGTTGCAGGATGATGAGGGAGAGGATGACTAATAATTTCACCTACCCAGACCGTCAACCTTCTATTCCCCATTTGTTTTTCCACTCGCGTTCGGGAGCAAAGGTTTTTTTTTTTTTAAAGATTTTTTTTTCCCTCCATTTTTTTTCTTATATCTGTACATGCTTCACTTTCCATTCTGAAGCCTCTTCACCTGTTCGTGCCATGTTATGTTCTCCTTTGACTCATCCAAGGCTGATGGCACATGCCCTGAATTGTCAGTACCATCCTTGAAGTCATCTCAAAATAATAATAAAAATCTAAAAAAAAAAATAGTCATCACGGCATCCTGAGTAGAATTTGAAGACAATTCACACAGAATTCATCCCGTTCAAGGTTGTGATGAATCAACTTAAGCCATGGTGTGGTGACCTAGTGCTAGCAGACCTCAATATTTTCTTCTTTTTTTTTTTTCTTAGTGGGGAGACTGCACCCTTGAAATGTAAATTTCCCCTGTGTGGTTTAAGAGTACCAGCTCATTCCTTTGACTTGTAATGTTTAGGGGGCGGGGTGGGGCTAGGGTCAGCTGGGGGGAGCAGGAGTCTTGGTTATTGGGGAGAGTGGTTATTTTGACACCAATTCTATGTTTTTTTTTCTTTTTTTTTTCATTGTATTGTTTTACAGATATCCACAAGATTTGAAATGACATTTTTAATAAAGACAAAAATTGAAAAAAAAAACCAACAAACCAGCTTGTAAATTTTGGCCCCCACCGCTTCACGAGTTTAAGGAAAAGTGTTATCTCAGAATTTACATTTAATCACCCTTTCTTTTTCCGCTGGGGGAGAACTGTTTTAAATTTGAGGTGTACAACTTGCTTTGTTACAATAATAAAACTTAACTGTGTATACATGTGTGGGAGTCTTCAAACAGAAGTGGGTGAATGGAATTTAACTTCAAAATCCATTTGGATAGAGTTAAAGACACATTGGCGAACTTTAGTCAACTTCCACCCGCTCAAAAAGTAATTTTCATAAACAGGCCCGAAGTAAGGTTGTCTTCTGTTAATCAATGGATGATTAAAGCCAAGAATGTGTTCTTTGAATACTCAAATTTGCACTTGGTGACCATCAGGGCAGTGGCTAAGGTGGAAGGCCCAGTCTGGAGTAAGAGAAAACATGTTTTCGGATCAAATTCAGACCATTAAGATCAAGCAAGTGGGAAATATTTGTCCATTTGTGTCGTTCTACTGCATGTACAGTGTGACATGAGAATTAAAAACAAATTCTTCCAGAGATTTTATTGAAACTTGACTAAAGACATTGGGTTGTTTGTTGTTTTCTCGGGAGATCCGCAAGCCTTAAACTTAACTTTTTTAATCCAGTTTTTGACACCTAAAACACCTGAGTTTACGCCCGGGACAGATGGCGGTGGTCCAGCAGAATCCTGGGAATTGAGGTGTTCATCTGTCGCCCGGTGCGCGGTAACGTCCTGCTTTTCTACAAGTACTCAATTGAAAATTGACGTCCGTGGGGATTTTCGAAAGAGCTGGTCGTTAACCCTTTGGCCACCGACCAACGTGTCGTCGAGACTAGAAAGCGTTAGCCGGCGGGGAACCGAATTGATATCCGTCCCGAAGGCTAACTCATGTCCACGGGCCCTGTGCAGTATCGAAGTGTCGGTGCTGGCTCCATGCTTGGGCTGTACCGTTGTACATGGTTCAAGAGGATGGCACGCTATGACATAAAGCAACAAAACACATTAAATTCACTTTAATATTAAAATCTCCAGCAGTTTTAACAGGCGTAGGTATATTTTGGGCGCCCTGTCGACGCTTCCCTCGCACATGGATAGTCTTAAGCTAATTAGCTAAAACGGTTAGCCTCTGGTTTTAGTGCATTTGTAGATTATCGATGGAGGCTATCGAAAACAAGCATATATATCGTGATTATAACATCAATATTTTTACAGGAGGAACATACGTGAACATGTATGAGTATACAAATGGTGTGTGGTTAGTGAACTTCAGAAGCAGGTAGCTAATTTTTCAGCACGCTTTAGCATGCTACTCATGCTAAATTGTGATTCAAATAGTTATCTTAACAAAAGGAATGCATACCTCACATAAAGGGAATGTTTTTAATTAAACGCACTTTACCTTAGAAATAGAATCCAGTACATATAGTATACATATACTATTGTATGCACTATCGTCTTTTTTATGCATTTATTTGAGATATTAAGTGTTTAATTTAATTGTTAAATGTCGATTGGGGAGATTGTAGTGCACCACTTATTTTTAACGGCACTTTTATGCAGCATATGTGGTTCATTTGTTAAACGTACTCACGACCGACCTACTTTTGAAAACCTCACCAGGCTTAATATTCAAATTTGACATATCGGAAATTTGAAGACCAAAGACTAAATACAAAATTGTGGTGTTGTATGGCAACATAGTTTTTCTTTTCTATGTCATCGCACAGTTCATATAAATTAATTGGCTTTTGCATATTTGTTGTATCTAAATAATAACTGAGATCGACTTGTAATGAAGCAAAACCCCTCAAATGCCAAGAGGAAAAGTATGTTTTCCTCTTTCTTCCGATGACCCTGAAAGCAACTTCAACATTATCCATCAAACTGTTGTGGTTACCGGTGTCAACGCTAAATACAAATTCGCCTCGACCAATCACAGGAGTACTTCTTGGACAATCACCAATCAGAAATATCGTCTTTAAAGTCAAACGGTCGTACTGCACTACACAGACAAAAGTCAAAATTTGTCATGGTAGCGTATCGTGTAGCGTAATAACAATTTCCTCAACCTTTCTTTTTGTTTTTCTTTAGGGTTTTCCTAAGTTTTTACATGGTCTAGACGTTGTTGTAGCGTCTTGAAAATGAAAACCCGAGATTCGACCCCACCACCACCGATTCACGTCCACGTACCGGAGACAACACCTGTACACGTTCATATGAGGAGGAGTCCCAGCAGAACACAGGTTAATGCACACTCTGTCAGTGATGATACATTTTCAGGATTTTAGAGATAACATTCAAAAGCCAAAACCGTGATCCCAGGATAAATTCTTCAAAGGGACAGGATTGTATTTTGTACATAACATAGTGTCTTTCGTCCGTCTGAGTTCACTTGAGTTTTCATAGTTCACTTGTTCTTTAACGTTAATGTGTGTCAAGTTCACATGTACACATGTTTAGCTATAAATCCTAATGTGTATAACTTTTTAACTTGTATTCCTTTTATCATCAAAACCAGGCAAAACATGCTCAGGTGAAAGAAGATAGAGGAAGGTCAAAAGCTCAGACACCTTGGATTCCTCCAGGGAGACTTTCCTGTAGAAGAGATCTGGGCTCCTACAGGTCTCAGGTTCTAATAGTATTTAATCTCTCACTGCCATCCTCAGTAAAATAGACTATTAAAAAAAAAAGTATATCATTCATTGATATGCAGCGGGCAAATTACGCACCACTGAATTCATGATAGATTTCAGGACTTCAATTGCTGAATTTGGTTTGCAAATCTTCCGTGATATTTTTCGTGCTCTCTAAGTATATGTTCTGTTCGCACGTATTTTTTTAGCAGCCAAGCAGAACCCAATATCAGTCAGACCCTAGAGGCAGAAGGCAGCAAGGTTCAGTGGAGCAGGAGCTCTTCAGGACCTTACAAAGAGAGCAAGAAAACACCCGCCATTCAAAAAAGTAAGAGTTTCCCCAGCCGCTATGAAATAACACAGTATGCATGTAAAGAACTCCCCAATAAAAGCATTTGAAAAAATTCAGGATTCTTCCACCGTAGCTTCTTAAAGATGCTTTGTCATTTTAGCAAATAATTGCTGTTCAGATGCAAAAAAAGCTATCCCCTTCAGTTAGTGACTTTAGTTAGTACACTGGTGCATTAAAGACAAATCTTTTATTGAGCTTGTTTTGTTTTTACTTGTAAAACAGATTTTTTTGTGGGACCATATATAAAACAATTCTCAGAACAATATAGACTGAATATCTGTCCGCCATGTTGTTTTTTATTGGGCACTACTTTTTCTAAACCTAATCTAATCCTTATAAAGCACATGGATCTCAAACTCCGTCACTCAAGGTCCTGTAGGTTTCAAGTGTTACCTGTCTCACTACACCTGATTTAGAGGGAATGGATATATTTAAAATAATGTTAAATTATTCATTAATCTGCCCATAGTAATAGTAATAATTTAAAATGGGTGTCTTGCAGCAGGGAAACATCTCAATCCTGCATGAAAGTGGCCGTTGAGGACATGGGTTTGACTTTTCTGGACATTAAAAGTTTGCTATGTTCAAAATTTCTGCAGATTCAACCCAGAAACCCTCACTTAAGTCTATGTTGGCAGACTTTGCAATTTGTCTGGGAAAGGCTTTACTTTACTTTACTGACATGTTATTGGGTTAGTATCTTTAGTAGAGGGGATCTTTAAGATGGAGTTTAGTATCACAAACCACATTCTACACCTTTTCCTTGCTTTTTTCAATTTGGTGGAACCATATTCATTGGCATTGCTGTTTTAAGATCTCTTTAACAGCACACTCTCAGACTTTCTTATGACAGAACTGTTGTCTCTTGAAAAAATATTCCCCTTCTAATGGCAAACATGTTAGGATTTTCCATCTTAATTATTTCTTGTTTCCTATAGATCGGATTCTCAGAGTTGGGACAAAGACACGGATGTCCTCCTGCGGGCACTCGTAGAAGCACAAATAGACGGTGTTGCCGTCACTAATCAGCTGACATCCCTGAAAGAAACCGTTGACACTCTCACTAAGGTCTGTTTGGTTCCAAAGGATCTTTCTGAATCAGCAGGGAATAAGCGGTATAGAAAAATGTATAGATGAGAGGCAGCGTGACTGAAGAAGGGACACGTTTGCCCTTTTTATTTTCTAGGAAAAGCGGCTTCCCAGACTGCATGCAACTTCGCTGGAAAGACAGTATGACCAGCTGTTGGAGAAGATAGAGATGTTTGACCACTCGAACCACAGCCTCAGGGACCTCCTCAGGAAGTGGGGCGACACCGAGGTAAAAGAACAAAGAGAAGTGAAGATAAACTGACGTCGGCAGAAGTAATTCCCTTTGACTCTTTTGGTGTTCCCAGAGGGAGGCGTCCGAATGGTCAGGAGAGAAAGATGCCTTAAAGAAAAGGCTGGCTGACGCCGAAGTAGCGAACATGGTGAGTGATTATCATCTGATCTTGAGATGTTTCTACCTGGTTCTACTTAAATATTGATCTTCCTCTCTCACAGCGACTTTTGGCTGAACTTACCAACAAGGAGAAGGGGGCCTACAAGCTTTCTGAGCATGTAGACTTAGAAAAAGTGAGTAACTACCATTGGTATTTATTTCCACATGATAACTTAACACACTGTAGCAGATAACTTACACGTTCAGTCCCACCACCATCTTCAGTCCCTTCTCGTCTTTGCAGGAGAACGCGAAGACGGGCGAGGATCTCTCAAGGCTGCTGGAATCAACTTGCAGCCATCTGGAGTCTCAGCTGCACCATGCAGAGATTGAAAAGGCCCAGCTGACTGAGCAGATTCAGGTCTGTAAGCCCAAATGAGAGTAAATCACACCCTGGAACAGCCAGATTCAGAACAGAAATGTATCAAAATTGTACCACAATTTCATATGCATAAAGCTATATTTATTCACAGAACTTTGAAAGCATCACATTTCAATATTTCATGAAAGGTGTGGACTCACCCTTTACCTGTTGGGACAGGAGGCACAAAAATCAAGGAGTGTGAATTGTAATAAAAAGAAACTGTTAGGTTAATTGGGCACAGGTAAGAAAGAACCTCTATACCATATGTGAATGTCATGCATACATTTTTTTTAAATGGACGAAAGGCAAGTTGAAAACACAGTTATTTTGCCCAAAGAATCAAAAGAGTTTTTTGTTTGAGAACTTATAGACATCGTTGGAAGTTGAAGAGGGATCATTTTGTTTGCAGTTTAAAAGTTAGCATTTCTGAAGGTATGAGGTTAAATGAATCCCTATGCAACTGATATCAGATGTACAGTACATCCGGAGAGGCACCATCAGCCATTAAAAACACTAAACCATACATTTATTAGAGCTGCAGTGGCTTCGTTGTAGAGGAGTCCGAGTTTGACCTGTCATCAAATGTTTGGTGCATCATGAAACACTAAACAGGGAGCAGAAGATACAGAGCTACATCAGATCCTACATCAGACTGGAATGGGATGACATTACTCTCCAGAAGGTCCAACAACTGGTCTTCTTAGTTCCCAGATGTTGATGTTAAGATGAAGTTAAATTGAATGCTACCCATTGATAAACTTGGCTCTGTTCTAACTTTTTGGAGACATTTTGCATGCTGGAAAGTCAAAATTCAAGCTGATTTTTTTATGAAATAGGAGAGATTGAATTTTTTTAAGTGTACATAGCTCTTTTTTCTCTCAAAGAACAAGCTTTTTTTTGTTAAAAAATTTGGCTTATGGCCAGTTTACCCAGCTGGCTTGAGTCGGGAAATGGTCTATTTTCCATTTACAGCCCCCACGGTTTTTTTTTTAGCTCAAAATGTTGCTAACCTGTTGTTATTTTTCTCAACAAGTCATTTTAGAAGGTTGGATTCAGTAATGCCTCTATGCAGCTTTGGATTCAGCCCCAAACTGACCCGCCTCTCTCTGTGCGGTGCAGAGTATGCAGCAGAGCCACGAGCGCAAGCAAGTGGAGCTGCACGCTCTGCAGGAGGAGCTGCACACCCTGAGGCAGCAGAGGGACGACTCCGAGGTGAAGAAAGACCAGGAGCTCCTGGCTTTGCTCACAAAGCAGACTGAGCGAGCCGAGGAGTCAGCCAGGGAACTCGCAGAGAAGCTTCAGGAGAAAGTCAGTACTCAGAGCTGCCTACAGTGTCTTCTGACTGAAAGAGCTGCAGATATGTGATCTATAATGCATGGGTTGAAGGTGCTAGTTGTATATCGAGTTAAGGAACGGCTATTTTTCTGTTTTTTAACATTTACCCAGCAAAAACCAAACGCTCTTTCCAATCTTTAGCTGGGTTTTGTCTGATCACCCTCTTTTATTTAAATTGTGGTACAAAGAAAGCCTTCTTTCTAAAGCTTTATGGGCACATTACTGTCTTTTCTTTCAGTTCACGTCTACTGACACTTTTCATATAGAGAAGGCAACATGTAGCGACTGTTAGCGTACGATAAGTGATGCCTTCTGTTTTTTGTTCTAAAGGAATCCCAGCTGTCCCAGTCTCTGTCTGCGTCCAGTCACTGGCGTCTCCGCCACTCGAGGGAGGCATCTGCTAAAGGGCAGCTGGAGCAAGAGATCTCTACTCTGAGAATGTGAGTGCACGGAAACCCACCTTGAGTTTGTCATGCTCAGGACACAGGTTTAATTAAGGACTTTGAGTCAAAGTTCTCTGCGGGTGTAATTACCTCGGAGACTGTTTTGAATTGCAGACCTATACAAACTGTAACATGAAATACAGAGCGAAATAACCTGGTCCAGGACAAGTGGAGCCATTGGCAGAATAAAGAAATGATTATGTTGAATATCCCAACATCTGATGAAAAACCTCATCACTTATAAATGATGAATTTGGTAGCATCAGTTTGAAAATACTGATGAGTAACCCCGACTGTCAAATAAGATAAGGCATGAGATTTTAACCAGTGAACGTAGTTTGTGTTCCATTTAATTACAGCAGTGGCTTAAACCAGCAGAATAGAAAAATTCAACAAAGAAAGTAAAGCTCTTAATTTATAATGAATAATAATTTTTGTGTAAACCGTATCAAGTTGTGCAAAGGAATGATTTATTAACTTTTCCTTCAGTGAAGAACAAAGCAAGTAACAAATCCTGATAATAGAGTTATACATTTGATTGAAGAAAGGATTAAATACATGGAAAAAGCTACAGTAGTAATTCTCAAGTAGTAAAGAACTGATGGAGATGTCAAATTATATCTATTGACTTCCATTCCTGAACAGTAAAGATAGGTTGGTTTTAGGATTTGGGATGGGTTAAATGTTAAGGTTGATGCATTTCTGAAAGTGAGTTGGCTGAAATTGAATTCCAAATCCTAATTATTATTAAAAAAAAACAGTGAGAGCTCACAGCAAAGGGCAAAGTCTGAACAGGTTGAAAACTCTGTGGAACTTAATAACAAAACAAACGGTCAGAAAGTGGACACTCAGAGTAAGAACTGAAACCGTTAACAAGACCACAGAAGCTTAATTCAGGACTAATTGTTTGTTTGTTATTAACTAACAAGTAACATTTTAGTTTTGTGCAGTTTTTTTTTTATTATCAAAAACAGTCGAAAAACAAAAAAAATGTTAGAACAAATTTATTATCCACTATTAAGCGCAAGAGGTCTGACTGTGGTCAATCCCTGTTTTGGAGTACTTATAAAGTATTTGGGGTATTGATAAAGCTGTGATTGGTTAAAGGTAGGGTTTGTGATACCGCCCTCACGTACCCGTTTGTGTTACAGTAAGGTGGCCGAGCTGAGCTGTCAGCTTCAGTCAGTGGAGGAGAAGACTCGCGACGAAAGAGAGGAGCTCAGAGATCAGCTTCACCAACTCAGCGTTGAAAACACCTCCACCAAGCTGGAAAACCAAAGTCTCAAGGTTCGTCCAGAGAACAAATGGAATTTTGCACCGCTTAAAACAAACTCGCTAAGTAGTTTAATTGAATTTTATCTGAATTTATCTTGGAGATTAAAAAAAGAACATTTCATTTGACATATTCAGAGTCAGCTATCGTCGACTGAGGAGAAGATCAGGGGATATCACTCTGAAACTCGTCAGCTCAAATCGTCCATCAAAAAGTATGAAAGCCTGGTGGAGAAGTACAAGAATAAGGTATGTTCCATGCTTCACAAAACGAAATCGGAAGGCCAAAATCACAACAATTTTACGAGATCCTGGAGGGAAGGACTGCCTCTCATCCGACTAACACGCCTTCACAGGTCCAGCTGGCCCGCCTGGAGTCGGAGGAGCACCGCCTGAAGCTGGAGGCGGGTCAGAAGGAGGTGCAGGAGGTGCAGGTGAGCCTGGAGCGGGAGAAGGAGCAGATCCGGCGGGAGCTGCTGGGCCAGCTCAGGGAGCTGGACACGCTGCCGGACAAGCTGCGGCGGGCCGAGCAGCAGCTCCGCGAGGCCCAGCAGGAAGCCGACGGCCACGAGCAGAGCAGCATGGAGTACAGCGCAGCCCTGTCCGACGTCAGGCACAAGGCCAGTTGCACACTTGGCCAGATGGCGCCAGAATTCGATCCGTAAACTGAAATTATTCCGCTGAATTATTTTCTAAAAGATGCAATCTGGTTGTTAGACTTTACCATTTACTGTCACCAGATGGCAGCAGATATGTGTTTTCCTTCATTTAAATCAGGGGTGTCAAACTCTGGCCCAAATTATATTTATTAAATTATATTTGGCCCGCGAGACAATACCAAATGACGATGAAAGCTGGTATTATACTGTACAAGGCATTAACCGCTCATACTACAACTCCCATAATGCCCTGCTGTTGTTCAGGGCAGTAGGTATACACTACAACTGTCACTGTGCTACCCCTTCCCAAAAATGAGAAGAAGAAAGGCATAAAACAGGAGCTTTCTGGACAAGCAAATTTAATTTTGATATTTAATTCAGAAGGCTGCGAATAGAAAAGTGTTTTAAAATTTTATTTGAAATTTTATTTTGCATGTCTCCACTCTTAAGTTATATATAATGTAATAAGAGTTGCTTGTTCCATATTCAATGTTAAAGCAAAATTAGTTTTGTTCCACATTGAAAGGTTAATTTGTTCAATCTAGGCCCGCAGCTTTGTTCAAGTTTTAAATTTTGGCCCACTGTGTTTTTGAGTTTGACACCCCTGATTTAAATGAACAAAAAAAATCTGAGTTACCGTGGCAGGTGACGTTAATTGTTCTCTCCTCCCCTTTCACCGTTAATCAAGTGGTAAATCATCAGAACATTGGCACTTACAAAAGTAACCCCGTCTGTTTCTGACGTGTTTACTTGTCCTCCTCAGGTGGAACAACAAGGTGCTCAGCTGGAAATGTTTCAGCAGAGGAATCTGTTGATGCATGAGGAGAACAAGGTCTTCAAGGACAAAATTCACCTCTTGGAGAGGTAGCAAGTGGGCCATCGACCCTCATTTTTATATAATTTGCCCTTTTTATGAGTCAGTCGTCACATTGAAAATACTATTTGTCTATCTGTCAACAGAATCATTGACTGGATGTCTTTGTCCTTCCACTGATTTGTCCATCTGTTGTATTGTTAATTAACCTGTTAATCTATGTCAAACATCGGAAATGACTCTGTAGGATTTAATAAAGGGCGGCACGGTGGTGTGGTGGTTAGCACTGTCACCTCCCAGCAAGAGGGTTCTGGGTTCGAATCCCGGGGGAACCAGGACCTTTCTGGGTGGAGTTTGCATGTTCTCCCTGTGTCTGCGTGGGTTCTCTCCGGGTTCTCCGGCTTCCTCCCACAGTCCAAAAACCTGCATGTTAGGCTGATTGGAGATTGGGGAAATTGCCCTTAGGAGTGAATGTGAGTGTGAGTGATTGTTTGTCCTTGTATGTCCTGTGTGTGGCCCTGTGATGGACTGGCAGGGTGTACCCTGCCTCTCGCCCGTTGACCACTGGGATAGGCTCCAGTTCCCCCGCGACCCCATGAGGGACTAAGCGTTATTGATAATGGATGGATGGATGGATTTAATAAATTGGCAAAAATACACATTGGTTAGATGGTGATATCTCAGAAAGAAACCTAATTGGAATCAAAGACTCACAAAAAGTTACATGAACAGTTAATTTGCTAAAATAAAAAACCTAAACAATGTCTGTCACAGTTACCCCATGAAATTATGACAGATTTAGATCCCTATATGCAAAAGTAAACTGGAATTCACAGCACGGAAATGGAACGCACGCAGTATTTCACAGGTCCGTCCTTCCATTTGCTCATTGCAGGAAGGTAGAGGAAATGAACGCGGAGAACAAAGAGATGTCCCAGGCTTTGGCCTCCAGGGAGGGCAGCGTCCGCAGCCTGCAGCATCAGCTGGAGGAGAAGCAACACGAGTGCAGCGTCCTGTCCCGAAGGCTGCAGGACACTCTGGACGACGCACAGAAACAGGTCTGAGAACACGCCGGTACCCCTTTAACTCTCGTCCATAGACGTCTTTTTCGTGAAACGTTGTCTAAATCAGGGATTTCCCACCTGAGAATCACAATTAAAAGCGTAGATTCTTACTCAAGAATAAACAGCTACAGTGACTTTGTGTGTCACGAGCTGGTGGAACTGGTTGTTTGTTGTTTGAAACGACAACGCTGTCAGATGGTGTTCATCCGTTGCTTTTATTATGGGGGAAAAAAGTGTTGAAAATCAATTTTGTAAATGAAATCTACTATAACCAAGCGCTGACACTGATAATTTAATTAGAAAATATGTACCATATCAGTCTGTTATCGCAGATAAACTAAGCTTGTGTCTGGATTCAGATGACCAGAAGAAATTAACAGATATTTTTAATCATGTTATTGTCTCAGGTTAGATGTTTAGTTGATATCTTTTTAAAGAATAATCCAGCAATAAGTATCTTTATAATCTGAGCCTTATATTCTTTCCACTTCCCTTTTATATTTGTATTATATTTTGTTAAATCTGTTAAGAATAGGATTGATGGGTAACCTGTGGTAGTTAAATATCTATTTTAGAAATGTGTTGGATTTAGTATGTTCTGCTTTTTTTAGTCATTTAACTTTCCCCTTGCCTTTGATCCGTTTCTAAAGTCAAAACGTCATAACTTTGGTTTTCGTCCATACATCTGGATACAATTGACATGGATGGTTTCATATTATCCCATTTTTATACTCCTGTGACAGTGTATCAAAATATGGGCATCTGATCCAAACTGTAGTTAAAATAGGTCAGAATTCCTCCTGTTTTTACAATAAAATAGGCTTAAGTAAATGGAAATGAGGTCCGGTTTATTTGTATATTACACAAATATGTGTAAAATATACATATATTACACAGATTTACTAAAAAGGTGAACTTAGAAATGTCACAACTGGTCAAACAGACCTGGGAGCACGGAAAATGGGCAATAAGAGAAACTTTCATTAGTTTTAAATGTTATAAGTAGTGAATTGAAATAAGTGTTCAAAGAAATGAATAATAAAATCTGTCTGTAGGTGGATGAAAGGTTGCAGAGGGTTTTGGTCAAAGAGAGAGCGTCCCAGTCCAAAGCGTTGGACCTCCAGAGCCAGCTGAGCCGGGCCAAAACAGAACTCAGTCTGTTACAGAGAAACAAAGAGGAGGTGGGTGCCTGTTCGACTCAAACCCTCAGAAACAAAGTGGCTGGAAAAGTCTGTTTAATAAAACTTGTTTTTTTTTGGTTTTTTCTTGTCTTTTTAGATGGAGCAGCGCTTTCAGAGTCAGCTGCGGAACATGAAGGAGAGACTGGAGCAGTCAGACTCCACCAACCGCAGTCTGCAGAACTACGTTCATTTCCTCAAAACGTCATACGGAAATGTGTTTGGTGACTCTTTACTCTCGAGCTGAGCAGGATTCACTATCAAAGCGGTGTAAAGAGTTTAATCAGTTTCAAAAGAATTCCAATTTTTGATGTATTTTAGCGTAACAAATGACTATATTTTGGTCTGAAAGTCCTTAATTTTAATATCAGTTTTTCCTCTAAAGAGAGGAAAACTCGCTGCTTTTCACTTGTACTGTAGCATTGATGAAAACATCACTTTTTCTTCAACTTTTCTCTTGTCTGAGACCGTTTAAAGAGACAGAGTCTGTCTCATCTAGCAGGCGATGAGAAAAATGTGGGGATCTGTTTCAGGATACATTCCTTTTTTCCTCTCAGTCTTTATTCACTGCGAGGCATTCAGTGTTGAATTGATTGTTTTGACTGAAGTTCATCAGGCAATGCGGACTATTTGTTCACTCCTCCTGAAATCTCCAATCTCTCCTCTTCTGTCAGAAAAGAGATAATACGGGGACAGTTGAAAGGGATGTTCCAGCTCAGCCTGTCTGGAGACCCTGGCCACCCGTAGGTTGATCCCTGTAAAAGAAAAAAGGTGCACGGTAACACACACCGAGGTCCTTTTCAGGCCATTTTGTCATTGGGGAATTCCAATAGTTGAGGACTGTTAATTATATTTTACCTTAAGTAGACCTTAAGGCTTTCTAAAGCTCGGATATGATGCATATAGATTAATAAAATTGCATCTGGCCATGGAACATAATGAGTCTCCTAATACCAGATGATACCGTACCTACTTCTCAGAAGATGGAACTTTTTTACTCGTGCTTGCTTTGTTATTAATATCAAATCTTTTTACTAGGAAGAAATACATTGGTTATGAACTTTCCGTCCGTACTTTGTTAAATGTTTAATGTTTTCTATGCTTCTTAGAATTTTTTTTTTTATAGAATAATGAGCCCTCCATTGTCTTTTCATAACCATCAGTTTAAAAATAATCACAAAACAATTGAGCCAGAACAAACACTAATAAAATGTCTCTCCACTGATGGACACAAGCTGTGGGCTTTTTTGTGATTTAACTCTGTTTTAACTTTGTTTAGTCTGAAAATATTTGATTAGTAAATAGTTACTGAAGAAACCCTAAATTGTCTAATTGAGGTTTGAAATAAAAAATTCTGTAATTATAGACGACTCCAGTTTCTGAACGATTCAGCCACCTCTCAGAAACTCTTAACTCTTATCCATACCTGCTAAACACAGAGGTGCTCACACCGGAGAAATAACAGACATGGGAAAAAAAAACATTTCTCACTAATGTTTTTTGTATGGCGGTGTATGAACATGTAGAACACACAACCCAGGTTCCACACACAAGCCCACAGCAGAGACAACTACAATCCATCCAGAAGATATCCTAGGAAGCCGTTTAGGGCAGAGGCTGACCCTTTACCTGCACATGGGTTGACCAAAGTAGGGGCAACTAAGGGTAACCACAAGAGGCCAAAAACGTTTTTTAATGGAGTGACACCAGGCGCTCAACATCTAACTATGCGTTTCCTGAGTTCCTTCCTGTGTTTAAACCCAGCCTTCCTTCATGGGATTTAGCTTTGTGGAACCCCATTTGAGCCTATTGAGTCTGTGGATGTGAAATCTCGTTCATACAAGACCGCATTGCTGCTTGCTTTGACTTTGGCAAAGCAATAGGTGACCTTCTTGCTTTGTTCGCGCATCCCTCTTGTAACCAGTTTACTCTGGAAGCATCTAAGGTCGCATTGTGCCCTAATGCAACGTATTTACCTACGATTATCCCTGCAGCCTAAATTTCTATGACTTTTGAGCTCTTGAGCTAATGCCCCTTCCCTCCATTTGCATCTCAGGAGCAGAGGAGGTTGCACCACACACCTATGGACAGCCCCCGAGGTTAGGGTTAGTGTTTATGCGTTTATATGACCAGTCATTTGTCTGTTTTGCTAATCTGGCTAATGCACGTTCAGCCTGGGGCATAGTGGCCGTTTAGGGTCTCGTTTAAAGGGGTTTCTGTGCGTGATGTTGGTGCTGCAGCAGCCAGTTGGTCGTCACCCCAAACTTTTGTTTGGCTTCATCGTTTGGATCTGGGTCTACAATACGCTAGAGTTTTGGAGGTTTGGCTCCAGTTTGGTGGTTGCTCTGTGGGGCGTGTATATGACATTTCTCCACACAATATGGCCTATTAGGAGGACACTTAATACGTACAGGCAAGGGTATTGCTTGGGAGCTCAAAAGTACTGCGAGGGCATTCAAAAGAAAAACATTTGCCATGCTACCTGGGGGGGCTTCATAGTTTTTAACCAAGTTAGCAAAAAAATACTGTTTTGTGCGTAACTCGACAAGAAACGCTCATTTTTGGATTATTGTTGGAAACAGCGAGTTCAACACAATATCATCGAGATTCTGTCTGACAAGACGTGGCATTTGCTCTGTTGTGGAGCAATATTTTTAAAACAGAAAAAAATGCTGTTTTGTCAATCGATGAGAAACGCTCATTTTAAAATTAATGTTGGAAACATCTAGATTTTTTCGTGCAAGATAATATCTTCGAGGTAATGTCTGGCAAGACACGGCTGGGGAAGAATTAACAGGACAAAGAATTTTTACTCTGTTTTGAACCAGTGGAAAACAGTTTGACAAAAATCCTGTTTTGTGCATAACTCGAGGAGAAACACTCATTTTTCTAATCATATTGGAAATAGTGAGTGCAACTCAATACCTTTGAAATTCTATCTGAAAAGTTATGGTATGTGATGAATTAACATAACAAAACATTTTACTCTCTTTTGAACCAATAGATAACATTTTGACGAGAAAGGCACATTTTCATATTAATATTTAAAACTGATATCTTTTTAATCCAACACAATGTAAATTGAGATTCAAAAACAGGTTTACTCTGTTTTTTAACCATTAAATTAAAGTTAGCAAAAATCCTGTTTTGTGCACGACTCAACAAGAAAGGCTCATTTCTAAGATCTTTTAGCTTTTTTTGTTTTGAGCTCCTTCAACCAGCTCTGGCTACAAAGTGGCACTGCACTGTGATACGCTTTCTAAATCTGTCAGCTAGGTATGCTAATCTCAGTATTTATGACCTCTCTTTCACACGAGAAAGGGAACAGTATCTCGTTTACCTGACTCACTTTGGTTCCAACTGATGTCGGTTAGTGTTCCACTTATCCTTACGTTTGTTTTGAAATGAACTTGATTTGGCAGAATCAGTATTAACAGTACAGCCCCACTGGGGTTTGCTGACACTATCTCAGGCCTGAAGTCGGTTGGTGGTGTGTTAGAACTTTCAGCTTGTCCTTGGACCCCCCATTTTACCTGTCCCAAATATAGTACACGATTAGCATGTTCCCAATCCTTACACAAAATCCCTATACAAAACTGGCAGCCCGACTCATGCATACCAGTATTTCACCTGTATTGATCTGGCCAATGCTTTTTTTATGTTTCTCTTTGGCAACATATTTGTTTCCTTGGTTTGCTTTTACCTATGGTAAAGAGAGGTTGCAGTAGAGGGCTTCCTTTGTGTCCTGGACTCTTTAATCAGGCCCTGAACCACTTCCTGAAAGATGTTGTTGTTTTCGGGCCTGACTGTTTATATCAGATATAGTAGATTTAGCTAGTGCTCTGTTAGATGATGCAGAATAAGTATTTTCTATAGACGGTTGTTGCTGTAGACACCCAGGGGAAGGACTGAAAGCAACTAATGCAGTAGTAATACAGACATATGCTGGGTTTGAGAAGTAGAAAGTCAACAGGTTTTTAATTATAGTACAGAGTTATCTGGGGTCTTTGACCCTGATAAGAACAGCTTGCAATTCTAGTTCATGTGTAAATGATACAAAAATAAACACACAACTTGCTCAGAACCAGAATGAATTCATTTTAATTTATGTGAATCACCTTATATAAATAAATGCTTTCTTAAAAGATTTCAGAATCAAAATAAAATACTTAATTTTCTTGCTTTTTCTTGCTAAACAAAAGTTAGACATCTCAAAATAAGATTACACACTGTTCCTGATTAGATGGATACATTATCATATTAAAATCATTAATTAGGAAATATAACTCAACTATTTGACCTGGTTAATGTGTTTGTTAGAGAAGACCCGAAAGCTAAAGTTGTGCCTCTTCGATGTTGTTGTCACTCTCCCTGTAGACGAAACAGCTGGGGAAGATCCCAGTATTTCCTGCGCAATGTCCCTCAAGCCATTCCTCATTAACTATGACAATGAGAGAGAAGGGGAAAAAAATGCATTGAACAGCCGACAGTAGAATAAAGCAGCATGGAAACAATTTTTTTTTTTCCAGAGGAAAAACTCACTCACCTTCACCCAAGATATCTATGGTGTCTCCTTCGCTGAACTCCAGGTCCTCTGGGCCTTGAGAAGCATAGTCATAAAGCGCGCACATCTGGTAGAGGATGGGACGAGTGACTAGAGGATCTTCCTTCTAAAAAAATAAATAATAAAATAAAAGGGACAAAGCTGGAAAGTTAATTAAGATTAAGTACAATGTATAATTAACTGGAAGCATATAAAATATATAGACTGTTACTCATTTAGAACATAAAATTCTGTTAAATATGTTTATGGTCTGTTTATTTTTGTGTTTTTGTGTTATTCAATACCACAAAATGTCTTATATATTTGAATTTATTCCCAGCAATAATCCAATATAACATTTGCATAATGACAAACTCATTCACACTCCTCTAATTATGTTTAACACCTATTTTAAGATGAAGATTCAAATGGATAATCATTCTTGAATCCTCTCAAGAAACCTATATTTAAATTTAAGATAAGCCTTGCTCTAGGTAGGTGGTTGAAGAATAACAAACCAGATGATTTGATGAGAAACCTCCAGAGGTTTCCGGCACTTGATTGTGGTGTTGTTTTTGGTCCTTGACACCAAATGTACTGGTTAATACGGTATTAGCAGATAACATTGATACAATTTCAACAAACTGGACAAAAATTGACCACCAATAGGGGTACAGGAACTCCTTCTCAATCCTATTAGCTACTGTAAAAAGTAGTTGTATCAGAGACAGTGGAAAAACTGACCAATAACCTTTAAGTTTTGATTTGGGGTTTAATAATGTTATGCAGCTAAAACACTGTAAATTTTGAGTAAACGTCTTTTTCTTGTCAGGAGTCGAAATCCTTACCTGACACCACAGGGTGACTCTGCCAGCCTCAGCCATTTCCTGCACAGTGCTTCCTGGTTCCATCTCTCCCTTCACGGGTGTCAACACGTGAGATCCATGCTGTTTATGTCTGATGAATAAGAGAGAGAAAGAAAGAGATTACTAGGAGGACTAATATTAGGACATGACAGAAAATAGATAAAGGGAATCAAGCCCTTCATTAGCTATGCTCAGTCTCATGTTGTCTGTTTAAGGTGTTTCAGTATACTATATCCCAAGATGGGTTTTCTTATTTATAACAGATATTGAAGAAAGGGAGTAAAGTTACACCAGAAAGACATCAACTCAAATACTGGATCTCCAAGAAATAAAGAGAAGCTTCCATTTTATCAAAAAGCTCCAATGAGAATTTTGATGAAAACCTGCAGAATGAATTGTATTTCCCACCCAGCCTGTCTTCGTTACCAAATACAAAATTAAATATCCAATTCTTCGATTTAGACAAACCTTTTAATGGCCATGGTTCGTTAGGTGTTAAAGAATACAGTATATAGGGCAATATATTTCAAACCTTCTTATTGATCCTGGATTATCTAATAGTGTAATGGGAGAAACAGCTATTAGTTATCAAACTACAAACATCTGCTAGTTTGGGTTCAGGATGCAAGCAATTCTCTCTCCCTTCAAAGTTAGGCTTTCTTCATTGTCCAGTTTTAAACCTCCTCAAACCAGAGCTTTTATTTGGTGTGCTTTTTTGCTTTCTTTAAGATATGTGGAATTAGTAGGACCTAATAACTTTTATACATAGACTTCATGGTACAGGTTTCTTTGTACAAGGAATGTGGGCTTATCTTTGTTTGTAAAATGTATACATTTTCTCTGCAATTTGGTACCGAAGTCTGAAAAAAAAGACTAAATTTGAATTATGCAACAAAATCATGATTGGTTGAAAATGTATAAAACCATTTTATTTGATATTTCAAACATTCGTGTTTGATAGCGTCTGCTATGAAGCCAAGAGGTCAAAATAGTAATTTTTTTTGTATCATGGTAAAGAGAGGCAAATTATTAAATCTCCTGTCTAGTCAGTCAATAGACAGTCCACTATCTCATGCCTGATGTTCAAATTGGTCATGCAACCTTGAGATGGGGGGGGGAGTAATATATACTGAGTGCACGTATGACATTTATGTCTTTAGCTTCTTTTTGACTGGACTTATCTCTGACCTGGTGCTGTTATGCTGCTTGATTTTGTCCTCACGACCACAAAAAGTAAAGGTTGATGTCTTACTTTCCTAATTCTGATTCTGCTGGGGATGTTTAAATAATGTTAACTGAGTTCTAAGTTGGCTGAATCGGTCTGTGCATTTGAAATGTGTCATGATTACATTTGTTGGGTTGTGTGACACGTCTCAAACATGTGAAGGAACGGTGGGGCGTGTGATTACCGGAGACGCAGCTGAGATGAGCTGTGGCCCAGTTTCTTTGCTATTTGTTCCTTCAGTTCTTCGTACGTTGTGTCCAGAGGAACAGACAGAGCCATGCTGTACGTGTAGTGGACTTTGACCACTACATTTCCTGCCTCTGTCGCCCCGGTCAGTGAGTCACTGAGATCCTAGGTCAACATAAAAAGACAAATTACAGATAAAATATATTACTACCCATCCCACTCCTCACAAAAAACATCATACAACATAATGAAACCAATATTATTCTTAATGTATGTTTAATTACCATTCTTGGCATCATACCACATTTATACTTACTTAAATTCTTAAAGTCTCAATCATCAAAAATAATGCTTACGTTTTGGTCATCACTATATTATTCATATGCTTAGGTATTATAATGAGTATACTAAACTTTCAGATTGTGTTTGGTTTTGCAACATAATATATGTTTGAAAGTAATTCTGAAACTAAAATGTCTTTTGTGACCTAAATTAATATATGAAACAAGTTTCTAACTGGGAATCCAAGATATATCCCAGATATAGACTACATAGTCATGTCTGTTTGCAAAACTGTTTATATCTTTGGTTCTGGACGTGGACTAGCAACCATGTAAAGAGTATAGCTGCTTACTGCTCAATGTGCGTTTCAGGGCCAAATAAACTAACTAACCAGTATATGCCTGCTATGAATTTAATTGTGAAACAACGTACCAACATGGCTTTCACTGGTTGGAGCTGTAATTGAGTAAAAACCAAAACAAAACAACATTTTTGTAAAAGCATACATCTGAAAGTAAATCGACAACCCGAATCTGCTGCGGAGAACATTTGTTTGGAATTCTGCCTCATCTTAGGAGCTTAACTTAAATCAAATAAAAACTACAAAAAAAGGATATTTCCAAAGGAATTGTAGTAGAAAAAGGAAGTTCTTTTGTTGTGTCACATATTCAAAGTAAACCCAAGAAACTTGAACCACAAACAAAAGGACCAGTCAATGAATATTTCCCTAACTTGATTTTTTAAAATTAAGCTATCAGAATCAGAATCAGAATCAGAATCAGGTTTATTGCCAAGTAGGTTTTCAGACTTACAAGGAATTTGCCTTGGTGTTTAGTGCACAACACAACACTTCTATGAGAAGCAAGAATAAAAAGTAAAAATAAAGATATAGGGCAGAATGATAAAACTGAAAAATACAATCTTTACAATACAATGTCTCTATATAGACCAGTGAGCAGTGCTCATAAGGTGGGGACCTCTTTTCATCCATCTTTCCATCCTCTTTGCTCCTCTTATGCCTTTAACTCTACATGCCTAAGCCTTTTCCTTTTGTATGCTTTTTCTACAGTGAATCCGATTGTTATTATTAATCACTTATGAATATGAATCCATGCAAAAAAATCCTATTATCAAGACTAATGCCTTTTTTGCCATTGTGATGAATTGTTTCTGTATTTAGGACAGACAGAAACTGAAAGCGAGATAAATTAAAGAGAGTGTGGGTCCCATATATGTAAGATTTCCAAAGATGTTCATCAAAAAGCTATGATTTAAGCTTTTAGAATCCCTAATAAATCCGATCCATTGAGGGTTCGTGTTACCTGGCTGACTGCTGCGTTGGCTGTATATTTCGGAGGCCCTGAAGCTGTTGCCAGAGTACCAGTGGCAGTGGAGTATGATGGAGGGGAAGTGTCTACGGTAAAATGTGCTGCAGAGAAACAAAGTTAGAGCAAAGTGAAAGTTAGCATATTTTACAATAAAATGCAGTTTTTTTTTTTAGTTTCCTGCTCCCAATTAAATGATAAAGGTAATAAATATTACTGGTTTATACAGAAGACCAAAATATATTGCCCTTTTCACTGTTTATCCATGTAAATTAATTTAAATTAATTAATTATATCGTGATGCTAATTAACGTAATCCTATGTTACTTTTACGACATTATCAAACGATCGTGGACAATACAAGTAAAAATTCTGTAATCCAAATATAGAGCACCAGTTAGGGCAATTTCTTGGATTATCGCAAAATGGATAGAAAATGTGATATTCTGGTCTAAAAGCACAGTAAACATATTTTATATGATAGCAGTGCTTTCAAAGCGCTGTATTATCAAAACAGATTCATGATCACAGTAAATTTCATAGAGGCAATGACAGCAGAAAGACTTGTAATCCTCAAAGAAAAGTTACATTATTTGAGCATTAATTGTTAGCGAAGACATGTTTGTGGTGTAAATGGATCAGGAATAAAACATTAAACAGAAAGTAGAAAATTGAAGTATAGCAGAACTCTTTAGAGGTGTCCATCAGCTGGTTAGAGCATTGTTTTTGCAACTTGGACACAATTTCCCCAAAGACTGTAAATGAGACATTTATTATCTCAAACCTAGCGGTTCATAAATAGTCAACATATTCTATATCTATCTATAGTATGCTAATCCAGTTCAAATTTGTGAGTGCAATGAAGCCAGAGTACCCAAAGAGAACCCAAGAGAACATGCAAACTTCCCCCACAAACATATGCTGCTAACTACCAAATCACCTTAATAGCTCAAAATAAGATGTTGCAAACCAGAAATGGGAAAAAAAAAGAAAATAAAGAAACAAAGGAAAGTTTTATTAGATTAAGGAAGGGACAGTGGAGAGATTAGCCTATCATGAGGTGGAGGGATTTCAAAGAAAGAGGAAACATAAGGGTTGTCATTTAGTTTTTTTACAGCGCTGAGGAGCAGAAGGGCTGGGCTGGATCTTTGGGCGAGTAGGTGGCATAAATCCCGGTGGGAGGGGGATTCCGGTAGGAACTCTCTGTGGAGGCATCCAACACATAGATCAATGAAACCATTGGTCAACCATTGGACTAACCCCGAAAAAAACAAAACAAATTGACTTCAGCAAGCTGCTATACTCTCATTTAAATAATAACTTTCATATTATCATTGTTTCGAGATAGAGAAATATATATTACAGTGTCATTTTTGCCTTTGGACGTCTTCACATCAGCCGGATCGAGCAGGGACACGGGCAGTAGTCCCCTCTAAAAGAAATGAAAATTAAATGCATGATATACAAATTTCAACATTTTTTAAAAACACTGAATTATATTAATAGAATATGAATTCTTAACACAAATGAATCAGTTTGACTGATCTTTTTCTTCTATACAAATGCTCTATTATCCCACCAATCACAGATCTCCTCTTACCTGTCCATCAAATACGACGTTAATCATTCCATCCCTGTCCTCCTCTCCAAGCAAATACACTAAAGACCCTCCGGGTACAGACAGCTGTTCGGGGCCAGAAGCCATGTAAGGGACCCGCACACGCCTGTAGCGTGAATCCCTGGTTTACATGAAAAAGATTAAATGCATACTATTAAGTATTGTTTTGCTGCACTTGCCAAATACCTTTCTTTCCAGGTCAGGTCAATCATTTTGTGTGATCATAACGAAAACTTACAGAGTTCCACCGGTCTTGGGTTCATAGAAACCAGGTTTCTGTGCAGAACACATTGCGAAAAGTTATTAACTTGACTTACCAGAAGCCCTTTCATAAGTAATATACACAACGGCATAATAGTGTAACATACCTGCAATCTCAGGGGCTCAAAGCCTCCAAAATCATCGTTGGGAATCATAGAAGCAATCACCTGGGGCAGAGCATTAAAAAAATATTAATAAAAACTTCCCCTAAGTGAACTTTCATTAAAATATTTGATGACTGATACTGTCAAAGTGCCTCTAAAAAGTTATTTCTTACTGAGAAACACTGACCTGATGGATAGGTTACTGTAAAAGTTTGAATCACTTGTGACAAAAACTGATCTCCCTTTACAGTTGTATGTAGAAATCAATATATTCAAATTCCTGGAGGAGCATTACGGAAGGAAATATTCTAAAAAAACTATGCCAAAGGAATGGTTAACATGTAGGACATGAATGTTCTGATTGCTACTGAATCACTTTTAGTTGTTCCTAATTAGTTTACTATGTTAGAAATCTACCTCAGTGGATATAAAGTTATGAGTAATAGATGCTTAATGACAAGCTTACATATGTAATTCACCACCACATATTAATATTGTGAATGTACCAAAATAAAACTGATACGTTTGCAATGTTATGGTAATTATGATTTTTATTCACTATGCTCTCGAAACAATTCCATACAAGCACAAACAACCTTTGGCTTGCCCAGAAAGTCTCTTTTTTGCAGCTGCTCAATGTCCTGTTTCCTAGGACGAAACACCACTCCTTCAGGAACCATGAGAGGAGCTGGCACCATCTTCCTCTGTGAAAATAGAAGGTTCCCTCCATTTCAATATGACATTTGAATGCAAAAAAAATAAAAAAACAAAATTCTAAATAGTTTTAGATGAGCACTTATTCATTCCAAAATGTGAAATCCGAGTTGATTGAGATGCAGTATATGGCACACTGTGAATACCTGCTCATCAAAAGGCTAACTATGAGTCGGTACTACACTTTTTCATAAAGTCAGTTTGTAATCACCTCTTATACCCTCATACATGGGCATCGGTCTTGGTTTAAATTCTGCCTGCTATCAATCAAAGTGAATTTTCAGTAACCCATATCAAATTATGCTGCAGGTGTGGTGGTGAGAAATACAGGCCTCGGAGGGAAACAAAGGGAGCCAGGAACTCAAGAGAAAGCGATCTAATAACCGTAACCCTAACAACAACAAAAAGAGCTGGATACAGGATTAACCAAACTGGGAAAATAACAAAACACCTCGAAACTAGCAAAACTAAGGAACACACCGGGAGGACGATGGGAGAACAAGACTAAAAGGCAGACACATGCAGATTTTTACAAGTTCTGACAATTTTTTTACATTAACAAACTTCTGATGAGGATCCAGCACAAGATTAAATGTATTATAAGTATTTTAGAGGGGAGAGTGGATTTAATGCAGGTGATAAAGAAACACAGGAGCATTCAGGTCATGACAACCTGATTATATTTAAATCATTTTTAAGCCTACATCTCCATGGTCAATGAAATTAAGTTCCCACAAACTACCTTACACATGTTTAAGGTCAAGTGTTGAATATACAGTTCAAATTGATTTAACAAGTGTCTGTTGAATGATTTGAATGCAGTTTACTGCAAACAATAACTTGAATAACCCTATGAGACTGATCAATATTTTCAAAGAATTTTTACTTTATTTTAAGAATGGTGCCTCTGTTATTGAAAATTCTATCTATTTAATAGTCAATGCATCCATTATCTTTACCACTCATTCCTAGTAGGGTCGTGGGGGGGCTGGAGCCTTCCCCAGCTAACATTGGGTAAACATAAGACTGAATGTCTTGCCTCAGCATCATGTTGTCTGGCCACTAAAATTCAGTACAACTCAGAATCCAATTATCTTTGGAAATACTCGTTTGAATCTGTTGGAGGTGTCAGATAGAATAGAAAAGACACTTCGTTGCATTATGTGAGAACAACCCTAACCCTAACCCTAACTTCCCGTTGAATATAGACAAAAAACTAATTATTATTGAGATTTGGTAAAAACAGATTATGTTTAAAAAAAAAAGTCTTGAAGAATATAATAACTTTTGAACTTAGCGGACCACAAACTTGGCTGGAAATGCATCAGTGAGGCAGGTCGTAGGAGCCATATATGAGTGATTTCATGTAATGAGTTTGCAGTTGTCTGCACACTTGATTGGCACTTGGATGGTGCGTGTGTCACTTCGGGTGTGTGTGTTGGGTGATCAGAATTGGTTCCATGCCTGAGGATCTATGAGTGGTGTGAGCTCGGGATTGAAATGTTTTGTTGACCACAAATTGCTATGAAGTATGTCTGTGTATGTTTTGATTCCTTGCGTACAATAAATAATAATTGAACGATTATGTCATGTCATGACATGAAGAATAAAGAAAAAATAGACAAAGAAGTCATCAATTATCTGAGCGCCTGCTGAGCAAAAATAGTTTGACAGTTGGTCGCAAATACTGTATAGAAAAATACATTGTAGACTTATTTTCTTAAGAAAGTCTAGTTCACTTAATTTAGACACAGTATGTCAGTGCCAATAAATCTGTTATTGTTAAAAAACGGAGTAATTAGGGCTAAACTAAGGCTTTTGCATCCTGCAAACTCAGATGCACATCAAAATGAGCATTTCCTTGATATGAAGCATTCTTTGCCTTCTGCATTTTCAAGTGTGGAATGAAGGATGCAACACTCACTTCAACGTTGTCCAAGGCAACCTCTATATTCCCTTTGCGTCCGGCTCCTTTCTCCTTGAATGCTGACAGCAGAACCTCCCTGGCCTGCTCCCAATGGCCCATCCGACAGTACACCGCAGCTGCATTGTGTAATACCTAGGGAACACATTGCTATTAGAAATTTCACCAATAGATAGATAGCTAGATAGCTAGCTAGCTAGCTAGCTAGTTAGATAGATAGATAGATAGATAGATAGATAGATAGATAGATAGATAGATAGATAGATAGATA